GTGCCATCTTTACTTGTGTAAAGTTTTGCTAACACAAAACCTCCATCCCCTTTGCTATAGTTCTATATTCACTGCTTTTTGTCCTACCTTTAGTAGACAATGTGCAGGTCAACAAGGAGGGATAATTATTCCCATCCTCCATTTTAGTAGTGTACTGGAAGACAATTGTCTTATCTTTGTCACTTGTTTGTTTTTTTTTTTTTTTTCTTTTTCTTTTTTTGGTAACCTTTTCAGTGTTTCCTTATGGTTTTGCACTTGTGCACTTTCATGTTCCATTTTTAAACGCATTTCTAGGTTTGCTGTCCATATCCCTAACTTCTTCTGCTGCACACCCATACATATATGCACATATCTACATGCACATGCAGACACAGACGTACATGGTTATGCCACGGCTTTTTGCAAAACCCCTGAGTTTGTTCCTATTCTGCAGTTTTTCAAGGTTCTACAGATATCTGTACACCATCTAAATGTAAGTTTACGTTCATGTCTGTAGAGGAAAGAGGGTAAACTCCTTTCAGGCTTTTTCCCTTTCAGACTCAATTTTTATTTTGTCTTTTCTTGGAGCAGTATTGCTGACTGGCAGAACAGATAAAAAGCTAGGTCTGTGTTCTAATAGCCTCAGAATTTCTTATCAGTTTCCCAAATATACCCAGAATAATTATTTTCCTTCCTCCTGTACACTGCTTGCCAGTAAGCGCCCTGGCAAAACACCTAGCAGTTAGAGTGGGAAAGGAAATAGCTGTGCAGATGTCAAAGACAAAGAGTAACATGTTCTTCAGGAAACAGATGGCTTGAGCTTATATTTATAGTTGTCAATTTCTGTTAGACAAAAGCAGTCCATGTTACAAAATCTGAAGTATGTGGAAAACTAGAGATTAAATGTGTGCAAGGAGGATGGATTTCTCCTGGCTGAAGTCTCTAATACCTGGGTCCAAGTTACATATTGGCTGGTCAATATAACAAGGCAAAGATGGGTACAAATAGCGGGCAGTATGTCTGGTGAATGCAAGAAGGTGATACAGCAGTGATACAGTGCAGAGGCAGAGCATGAACTGCAGGTACAGTGCATGGATTGGGCTTTTTCACCTCGGCAACATATACTTAACATAGTTCTGTGACTGACAGGCATCCTGGTTACAGATCATGCACTGTACCCACTTCTCATGCACAATTGTGTACTTACTTGCAACCCCCAAATGCATTTATGAACAGAGAATCAAGGTTATACAAAAGCTAACTGAGCAACAGGCTATGTTCGAGTACAGTTAATGTACACTTAGAAAGACATTTCTGAACTTACTTACAATAGGAAATGAAACATAATTTGATAAATTATTCCTGTCATATCATTGAGAAATCATTTCACAACAGACAATTCAGCCTTGCAGTTGGATACTGCAAACGCAGGGACTATATTTTTCACAGACCCTTCTGTCAAATTTTCATCAAGTAGGTTTTTAAAAGGATAAGAAATATTTCAAAGGTACTGGGAGCTGAATCTTAGTTGACATGCAAACAAAAAGTTGTCTCACTATGACATCCATTCACTAATCCATTAATTCATAGCTAGCATATGATGTGCTGACATTTTTACTTTACTTTTGACTGTGTTGCATGGCCATATTCTGACATTGCTGTAATGGTAAGTGATGAAACATGCAACAAATCAGCTCTCAGGGAACCTTCTGAGACAGTTACCATTTTGTTATAAATAAGCGGATGTTGGAATATATTTTTTTCTACTGCTATGCTGTCAATTGTATTCTGCTGTGCCATTGATCTTATGTCAGCTTGATGTTATGAAAAGGTTTCTGAGTGGCAGTTACAGTGAAATTAATGTTAAACCTAAACTGTTTGTTTAACTTGTCTCCTGCATCTCCTTCACACACCAACTATGCTGACTACAGTTACATTAATCATTAGTAACCTAGTAAAACAATGTATTTGCCCTCTAATATGGGGACTGAGAGGCAAATAGATAAAATATTACTAAAATGCTGCTCTACTAATGCAGAACAAAGTGTAGCCCTCCATCCTGTTGATGAAATAAAGTCCCCTGCTTGCAGCTTCAACACTGCACGTACCCATAGACTGGTCATCTCAAAATACTTGAAACACATGAATCAGCCAACCAGGAAAAAAACAAAGCTCCTAGCAAATGATTTTTTGTTCTTCAAAAGAGAAGAGACAGAAATTATATAAAACTGTGAACTCACTACTGCTCTCCGACACCCTATTTATTACCTTTGGTACAGAACTATCAGACAAAACCAGAGAGCTCTTAGTCTAACATCTCTGGGGGTGACGGAACATAAAAAGCCCTTCTTTGTATCTGTGGGCAGTTTTATTAGGACACACAATGGTTCCCTAGCAAATGACTTCACTATCTTCTTTTGATTAGAAATTTCTGAGTGGACAGATGAGGACTTTTTCTGCCAAGGGTTGTAACCAAAAGGGGGTTGTGCTCCTGTTAAAATCTTTGGCTGATATTTTCTGAAGATGTTCCCTGCAAAATCCAAGGTCAGCTCTTCTGCCTCTGGAAAATGCTTTCCTTTGCTGACAGAAGCCTGACTTAGACTCATGCCAGGAGGGATCTGCCTGGAGGATTATAAACCAGAAAGAAGGAGTTATGGCACCTGGACTCTATAGCGACTAAGGATACAAATATGCGAAGCACAAGCTTCAGCCAGCTGAAGATCATAGAATATGAATAACATCAGACATGTGGGCTTTGGGGCCCTAAGTAGGAAAGAAAGTACAAATTAGGAACAATGAAATCAGCAGTTTATGCAACACGAGTTCACCTTCTCCAGAGACAAAACCCTCCGGACACTACTTTTTATGCTTATATCCAGTTGACCTGTTTTGTACTAGCTAGCCCTAAAACTGTTTCCTGCCCCAGTGTGCTCACAAACCATGGAGAGCCACATGAAGAGCACATGTAGCTCTCACGTGAAACACCCAGCCCTCCCCAGATGTATTCAGTTATACAATTACCTGGGACAGGAGTCTTCAATACATCATTTACCTAGCAGGTATCTTTGACCACAGACTCTGAAGATCTTCTGTCATCCCAATCCTATCTCATTTAGTAATCTCTATTGCCACAGGATACTTGCATAATTTGATTCATCATGTGCTGTATGAAAATGTACTCCAGAAACAGATACCCTGCAAAGAGCATGTGATTTAAATCCTTGGTCTCCAGAATAGGCAGTTTCTTTCTTCTGGGGCTTGACAATGCTTACACCTTCTTTCAAATCCTTCCACAGAAGTCCACAGTTTTATCCCCTGTTTCAGCCAGATTCTACAGATATCTAGTCTAGCAGACTTTACGTATCCAGCCAGTCAAGATCACTCAGCAGGACTGATGCTTCTGTCATTCATGTGACTGTGGTCAACTCTCTTCGTCTTTCAAAAATGCTACCTGCCAATTTGTTTTAAGCCCATCTACCAGACACAGGATCTCTCCTTATGCTCTCTTTCAGCACTCTGGCAATTGCAGCACATATGTCTAATCTCACTTTGCATTCAGATTTTTTATACAAACACAGATGACAGGAGGCCCATTAGAGGTATTGCTGTTCCTGGCTGACATATATTTTTGGAGGTTTGGTTGTTTCTTTAAACAACACAGTTCAGGTCAGCTAGAGTGCTAGGTTTATCACTTTAGTTCAAAAATCCCAGTGTTGCCAAGTGACAGATAAGAATTGTGGAAAGAAAATCAGAATTTCATTTCTGTAAGTGCAGGCCTTTGTTGTTTCTATTTGTGGGGGGTTTCGCTGTTGCCTCCGTTTTTAACCAGGATTACTTTGTGCTTATCCAAAGCCTATATGCAGGCTGCTTGGGGCATTCAGTCATCTTGGTCCATGGCAGCTGTATGACCAAATGTGACATCACTCAAAAGAGTGACCCAAAGAAAGACACTTACCTCACTTAGTTGAAGGTGTCCAAGTACCATGTAACTCTTCCAAGAAATCTATTACATCAACTTTCCCTGTAGTAGATAAGAAGGAACATCTACTCCTGTAAATGAGATATCTACAATATGCATGATGAATCATACTCAGGAAGTCCCTCTCTCTTATCACTGTCCAGAAAGGAAGTCCAATGGTCAATATGAACACAGCAAAAACCGGCAAGAGAAACTACACAGAAAGCAACTCCTTTGTACTTAATCAAAATCTTCTTGAGTGTCCATATTATTTACTTACTAGTTCTACAATTGCAGGAATTTAATTTCCATAATGTCATTTTTGACTTCCCTGCCCCACCGCAGGGAAGTTGAAACTAGACAATTTTTAAAGGTCCTTTCCAACCCAAACCAGTCTATGATTCTATGATAATCTTTGTGATAAAAAATTTCTTTGGCAAACTGAATGTGACTTCCCTATGTTCCATTAGAATAGTGAGTAAAATAAATCCTCATGTATTTGGATCTTTCTCATCAAACCACAGCAGTCTTCAAATGGAAAGTGATCAATATAATCAAAGCAAATGTAAACACACATATCTGAAATAAATAAATGTGTCAAGGAAAGATTGTGTAGTAGTCTGCTTTTGGATGCTGTGCTGTATGACACATTTGCAGTATGTACTCACAGTTTACTAGAAATAAAGTGAGTTCAGTAAGAGATTGTATTTTATCTGAAAGGTTAAAAGAACATTTAGTAAAAGGATTACGATGTTTTTGACAGAATATGGACTAGGTCTTAGCAGATTGCTAAGCACATTGCTAGTGTTTGGTAAGTAACAATAAATGGTAATTTAAAATTGCATTTCTGTTTTTTTTTTTTTTTTAATTTTTATTTCTTTTTGCACATTTTAAAGCTGAAAAGGGACCACTAAACATTAAAGCAATTTTTGACTCAACTGACTGACTGAAATCGTGGTACTGGACACTATCTCAGTACCAAATAAGCACCAGAAAGGCCAATAAAACACTTAAGGCTCAAAGATGAAACAGTGAAGTATAAAAAGTATCTGCACTCAGCATGTCCTATTAACATCATCTTTATTTCCTTTTTACAAAAAATAGAAATAACAACAGACAAAACATACTCAAAAAATCAATGCTTTTGCCTTGGTCTCACTGAGAAGCTGAGCAGGCAGAGTCCTGGCTGAAACTTTGACAGTATATGCCATTGACAAAGGGGAATAAAGATATATGACAATATACCCATGCAAGACACAAAGTACAAAATGTGTTCTGTGGCCCAACAAACATTTTGGAGGTTGCCTGTGTCATAACAATTTTCAAATTGTTACTTTTGCTCACCCATGCCTTTACACAGCACAGCTTACAAACAAGTTAGATATACACATATATCATAAAAAAGTTTTGTATATGGTCTAACTGCTACAAATTAAGGCATCCTAACAGCTGCTGTTTTGCTGGTGAGGGACATGTCTCATATTAGTTTTTCAAAAAGGATATATTTCAAACAAAGTGAGACATGTTGAGATGTGGTTTAGAGGAAAAATTCCTGCAGCTCTGGCTCTTCAGTAATCTTTTGACTGTTCAGTTTCTCGCTTTTCCCATTGATGTCATCATGCCTGGAGAAAGAAAGAATAAAATTACTCCCTAACAATATAGAGGGGTTTGCCTCGCGTTTGTATAGCCAGTTCTGCTCCATTTGCAAGTACTGAACTCAGTCTTCTTCTCCTCTCTGTATATTTCTTTCAATATATCCTATACAGAATACTTCTTAATACTGTGGATTCTTACTTTCTTGTAGCTCCTATTCTGAAATCAAAACGGTAAACCAGCAGGACAATGAAGACCTTTTTAAGTCATGGCATTAACTGCTACACTGTCATAATATTCTGGTAATAACTGAAAGAATGTCAAAAAATTCCTTTTCTTTCAGGGAAATGTATCATAGTGATAAAAAGATCCACTACAATAAACATGAGACATATCCTGTTTGCTTCTGACTCCACCTGTAAGGGGATCATCAAATCTCCATTAGAAGTCACCATAAAGAAATAAACACTTTCAGAAGTTGATTCATTGGACTTACTTTATGCAAAAGCCACACGAAAAATGGCAAGTAGCAATTCTATTTCTGATACGGGCCCTATATCTCTTTTAACACTGTGATTTCGGTAAAATCTCCATTAAAATCATTAATATTATTAGACACATAGATAAGGATTATTTCTCTACAGTGCATCTTCGTCTCCACACTAAGTAAATTTAAATTAAATAAAATAATCTTTAAATCCACCTATTGTGTGTAAAACTGAAATGATAGTTTGCCAATTAAAGTAGAAAAATGAAACACTAAACATTTGTAACATTCAGTTTCCTCACTTCCTTTCATATGTCCTTGTTCTTAATCCCCAGTATGTTTCCCCTACTCTTCAATTAACCTTCCAGCTGAATTATTTTTGATTAAGCATTCAGCCCACAGCAACTTCCAAACAGTTTGAAAGCCTTTTAGGCTTATTTTCAGTTATTACTGCTGAACAGTAAAATTCCTTTGTTGCTGCAAAGGACAGATACCAGCAGGAGATTAAAAACCCATAGCAAAAGGTAAGAGTGTGTATAAAATGTTTGCCTTAAATTCGCTTACTTGTGAGCCTAATTCTTACAAAGCAGTATAGCTTTATTCCAGTCTACAATCACCACAAAGAACCAAATATCCCCAAGAGACTGATACTTAGGATGCTCAGATAACCTCATGGTTATTTCAGGTTTTAACAGAAGCTGTCCTTTCCAGGCACCGCAGCTCTGGGTCTTAGTAAGAGGGCACAAGGGATCATTTTATTTTAAAATCCCCCTAATTCATCTAAATTACCATTGCCACATACCCAAAGCAAGAGCAAAATATAGAATTGAACTAGGGGAGATAGAATTTCTAGGACTGGCTTTGAAGAGGTAAAAGAGTAGCACGTAACTTTTTGGCATTTAACATGCATTGGTATTATCAAGTATGTTTAGTGTTAACCATGGAGCTTTTTTAAGGGATGCTTTCTAAGTCTAAGATAATTTGCATCAATTAACTACTTCATTAGCTTAGACTTGTAGTGTTGAAAGACCCTTTGGAGGAGTCCCCCATGCAGGGGCTCACTAGGCACTCTGAAGATACTATTTTGCAGGTCTACAGTCCCACTGTGACCTCAGGATCATTTTAAGCTAATGCAGGTGCCTGTAGGTCTGTAGTGTTGAACACACATGCCTTTTACAACAGTGCCTGCTGAGTTGAAGCAACCGTATTACTAACATTACTAGCTACTAACCAAATTTCTAGTATCTTCTGGCATCTGTGTTACCACAGAAATACTAAAATATCCCCTCATACAACAGGCACTTGATGCATGATCATAACAGCTCACAACAACTGTAAATTGGGACAAGGCCTAAATTACTCCAATATTGATTTTATATTTTACTAGTTCAAATGGCAACTATTTTATTAGTTATCCAGATAAGCATCCTTTTTCTAGACTATATATCTGAAGTTGTAATTAAACCAGCACTATGCCTGGCAGTGGGATACCTGTTATTTTAGAAGTATGTGCAGTTTACTGTTTGACAGAAATCTGATGGTAGATTCTGTTGATTGCCCCTGATGTACGAAACAATTTTTGCTGTTTATAGCTGCAGCTAAGGGGTTTGTATTGATATGCTGAGTTAGTGCATACCTTAATGTACTGTAGATCTCAGATGATCTAAAGTGTGAGAAGGAACTGTTCACTGGCATACATACAAGATGGAAAAAACTACAAGCATTTGCTTGGAGCTGTAACATGCAAGAAAGTACCCAATCCTTCCGAAAGGGGAATAAATATCTCAACCCATCCTGCATATCCAAAATTTACTCTAGGGCCTTGAGAAAAATGGGGTGTATAAAGTTTTAAAAGAACACTAAAAAATGTAGTACAATCCCTTACTAATAAGCTGTGACCAATTTGAAAAAGTAATCTATAAAGCCTTGAAGTACTTTGGTATTTTGCATGAAAAAATAAAACAAATGAAAAGAACAGAAGCTGAACAAAAAGAAGCTGGAAACTGGTAGAGAGAAATGTCATCTGACTCAAGGTAGATTTTTGTATAATGACTTTGGATTTCAGAAGATGCTAATAAAATTTGCTATATCTACAGTCTACAGTCGCTGTGGGCTAGTGACTGTGCCCAGAAATATAACCCTCCCATATAACAATCTATAAAGGCTTTAAACCCCAAAGACTGTACTATTTTCAGAAAGGTTCTTTTCCAAACCAGCTCTGAAATGGTAATAACACAGTCTCTACAGACCATACAGGCAAAATTCACATAGTGTCAAGAGGCTTGTAGGGCACATGATGGTGATTTTCTTCTGTTATTTAAATTTCACAGGCTACAGGGCAGCATGCAGCGGACAAATGACAGGAACCCATTTTGCTGTTCAAAAACCACAACACATGATAAAAGGCATTAACAGAGGCTGGCTAAGAAGCTCTGAGAGCCCTCAGGTCTGATTTCTGAAAAGCACAATACACCATCCTTATGTGATTTTTGGAAATCTCATGCCAACAGTCTCTGGCAGTTTCTCCTTCTTCTCCTAATCTGTGGATACTTCTCTCCTAATTCGTGGGTACAACAGACTCCTTCACCTGTGCTGCTAGTGCACACTGCTCCTTGTTTCCTAGTCTCTGGTTTTCCACATGCCCACCACAACAGGGGCAGCTTCAGGACATCATGCTTGGACCAGAAGTGCCTCTAGGCACTTCTGGCAAAACCTTCATGCTTCCAGCAGGTGATTCTGCAGCTCTGCAGCAACAGCCAAACCTCTTTTGTCTGTTGCTGCTTCTGGGTAAATGCTGTGCTGCCAGGGACTTCTCACACAAGAGCATTTACACCAGGCAATACCAAATTACAATAACTGCCTACATCTGGGAGATAGCTCTAACATAAAGATGAGATTAATGGTTTTGTGTTACTCCACGGACTGGACAGGCAGCTGGATGTTTTGACTGGAGGCTGCCCAATGATGGTCCCTCAGACTGCTGCTGTGCAGTCAGGTTTCTGCACTACAATTTCCCACTTTGTTTTCAGGAGAGAATGAAACTTCTTGGAAATATTGCAGTTCCACCTGGTTTCACATATACTGTGCCAATGACTTCAGAGTAAGTCTCCCATTTCCATTATGGAAATTGAGTTTTTAAGCAGTGGAAGATCCTGGCTTTAGAAAAAAAACAACCTAACAAGAACAACAACAAAATTAGGTGTTTAGAGAAGAGTAACCTGAAAGAAATTTAGGCTTTCAAAATGCAGAATTACTATTTTATAATTTTCCCTTCAAATGTACAATTATGGTGTTAACAGCAGTCATTTCCAGGCCTAATGAAAGGACTTACACCTCAGTTTAACAGAAAAAATGATCCTCACAAAAATTTGTGAGTGTGAAGAGCTGAATAAAAATGACAGGTAATTTTTACAAAGCATTTGCTTGTAAAATAAAATCCCATTTTGTCAAATGTTTTTTCCAGTATATCCTTACGGACCTTGAGAGACCGCTCTCTCTTTGCCTGAATAGTCCTGATGGAACATGTCTAAATTAAGGAGTTTGAATACAGTCAGACTTTTAAAAACCAGATTTAATGCCAAAGTAAGAAAAATGTGTGAAAACAGGAGAGCATTAGACTTAAAAGTACAGCATTCTGCCTCATATTCTCTGTAGTCTCCATTTAGAGATGAACTGTAGTTGTTCTGCTCTCCTCATGAGAGGAAATTTAACTTCCATTCTCATCTGGTACTTGCCCTTCATTCAACAGAAGCTGAATACTCAGCCAAAGTGTGCTATACTCCCTGGTGGATTTATAAGTATCAATACTTTCTATAGTTACATGGAACTCAAAATCTGTAGCCAGTTCAATGGTGACATCAGCAGAAATCCATCATAGATTTCTGCTTTTCTAGGAATGTAGATATTTATCTGTTCATCTATTTCCCTTCTTATGTATCAATCACAGTATTTCAGTTATGAATAAAGCTAGCAAAGACATGCAATTTGAAAAAAACAAAGCAACATTAATGCTAAATATCACCATGCATAAGCACATACCAAGCATAGTTACACAGAAGTTCTTCATTCAGCATGCTACAGGAAAGATTGGTGTAGCTGAAGTAAGGACCCTAAGGAAGTACAACATCATATCAGTTAAAAACATGCACTGAGCTTCCTACACACATAACATGGAAGGCAAACAAAACATGCAAATAGCCACAATAACATTTAAGCAGATTTCTTTTTGAGCTAGTAAATAAGGCTGAATCTGTCACCTTGTTGAGATGTGCGCTTTGGTCCTTTGGTTTGGTATGAAAATGTATTCTTCCCACAATTTTGATGTTGGCAACAATGACATGCAAACATGGCCTTTTCACAGATGTATTTTACAGTGTGTCAATACTGTTACAATTACCTCATCCAATTCTTCAAATTTCTTAGGGAACTGTGAAAACTTCTCATAACCTTGCACTCTTATCAGAACACCTTTGAAGACAGACCATCTTTTCTCTGTCACTATAAAATCTGAATCACTCTTAAAAAAATACCACTGTGTTATCAAAATAATTCTGTGTTAAATTGGCTGTTTGACTGGAAGGCGTATGACTTTTAAAGACTCGAATCAGTAAAATTCATACTGTGATTCTGAGTAAAATTTAACAAATGCAGTCCCACTTCAATGCAGCTTATGAGGTCCCATTTTAATTTTGTATTTCATTTCATATTCTGCTGTAGCACTACTGTTCTGGCAGTACCCACTAATATGGACTACTCACTGTTTCCCAGTTCTCTGTTTCCACTCTTTCTTTTCCATGCTCATTTTGCCTCCTCTATGCCTAAGATTTTCCTGTGTTTTTCTCCCACTACCTTGTCATACTTTTTACAGTATATAATTCACTATTCCTCCTCCTTTTGGCCTGCTTTATGTACTTTTTTAATCTTGAAATTATTCTTTTGCTTCATGTCTTTCCATCCACCCATTCCCTCACACCCTGTCTTTCACAGAGGATTAAATTCTCTGCCAGTGCCTCTCACTCAACTGTTTATCGTGTCTCCAGATGCTCGCACTTCTCTCAGCTCTATAAGTACATGGTGCTCACAGCATTTCCTACCTGTCTCTTTAATTCAATACCTCTTTCTTTCTTTTGGAAGATACATTTTTCTTCAATGTGATTTCTCTTTACTATTAAACAGGAAAGCCAGACTCCTTAACTGAGACACTACTCTTCCTGTTGTGATCCCAGAAAGGGAGCTTTTGGGGATCACCTGGATCTAGTACATTTTGCTGCAGACCAGTATGATACGCTCTGCCACAGGAAGACTCCATACTATGAGAAGAGGGTGGGCAAAGAAGGGTACTGATGGCTTTAACACCTAGGGGAGGGCTGTAGCTCCAACAGAGGTAGGAAGGACCATCTCTCGTATTCTTCCTCTTTGTATTCTACCACTTATTTTTATCATATTGCTCTCATTAGTATTGGCTATAGAACAGGACAGGGCTAGATCTTCAATTATTTACTACTCAGAAATCACATGGATTCAAATGTGACATTCTCATTGTATGACTTGTCATTCAGAGCAACAACAAACATCATCTCCAGGTGAGTCATGTCTCTGCAGAAAGCTTTCAACACAGAACATGTGAATCATGTGCACCAAGAATACAGACTCTGCACACAAGCAATACCTGTGTAATATTCTTTGAAAAAGCCTTCTAAAATTAAAACAAAGACAAGATTTCTAGAGATAACATACAGTCAAGTATTTTGTGTGCATCCTTTTGCTACAGGAAGGCAGGAAGAAGAAACTGTCAAACTTATACACTGCTTAAAGAGACAAGAGTTAAAAAAAAAAGGCCCGTCCTCCTTTCAGTGCACTCACTGGCTTGTTTCTTCCTTTTGTGAGAGCTGCTGGATTTCCCTTGCTGTCTGCTGTCTTCCTTCCTAATGAGGCAAAAGGCAGTGTAGATGAGGTTTTGATCAGGTTAGCTGTTTGACAGTTGTTGTTGTTATTTTGGTTGCCACTCAGTGTCTCCATTATGGACCGAAAGGTTCCAAAAGGCCTTTTTAGCTGATCCCCTGCTGTCTCACCAGAAGCAGGTGGAGACCGCACAAGTCCTTTGCCCCGCTCCTTATCCTTTTCCTCATTTAGTTCTGGTTCTGCTAGCTCCACCTGCACTACAGGCTCCTCAAAAGTTACTCGGAGTTTCAAGTTTTGGGAGGTTCTGCGCTTTGAAGATGGAGACTTGAGAGCACTCTTAGGGCTGGTGGCAACCTTTTGAGCAGCCTCCATGCTGGATGGAGAGTTATCTCCACAAAACTGGCTCTGAGGTACAGTACCAGGCTGATAAGGGGCTTCATTGTCCGGATCACTGTTCTCTGAAGTAGGGGAAGGACTGTGTCCATCCACAGACTTGGAGACCCTGATACCAAAAGGGAAGCGGCGTCCTCCTCCGGAAGTATGTTTCTTAATCATCAGGTGCAAACTCTCTGCGCTCTCAACACTCTCCACTATGGGCTGAGGCCTTGGTTTGTCAGTTCTTTTCATAGGGGTGTTCTTGTGGTCCTCAGAATTAGCTGAGTCTGTATCAGACTCACTAAGTGACCTCTGCATCAGTTGCCTCAGTCTGGCTAACTTCAGCTCCCTCTTCTCTGGCAAAATCTTCTTCACGTTCTTGGAGGATGCATGAGCATCCTGAAATTCCAAAGTCAGCTTTTCCTGTGTACAGACATTTTCAGAGATTTCCTTCCCTAACAACTGGCGCAAGATTTTATCTGAGTCTTCATCTTTTGTCTTGGCTCGAGTGCGACTAGAAGTTCCCAAGCTGCCAAGAATATGAATCCCATCTTGGGTATTTAATTTACTTTTCGGTGGAGACAAGTCATCTGCTTCAGACGGTTTCCATGGGGGTTTGCCAGAAGCAGGAGATGATGGTAAGCTTAAAGAAAAAAAGAGGAGAAAATACCACAGCCAATTTAATGCACATATAAAATGTGAAACTGCCATTTCCAGTGTATGTGTCTGCCTCAGCTTGTTACTTACCCTCTCCATTGCTATGCACATGGTATTCATTACTATGATGCCACAGCAAGGATTACAAAGAGAAGAATGTAACTCTGCTTCCACTACTAATTAGGATTTGAGTTTCTTCACTTTCTCTTACAAAGAAAACTCCTTGAAATTAAAACTTAGAATGGTTGTTTCAATGCCAAAGATGACTTTATGAGGAAAACTTTAGGGAAACCACTGTTTCCTATTTGTGGGAGTTGACATGTTTTAAAAGGTGAAAAAAACCTGTGAGGCCAAGTGCCTACTATCCAAAAAAAAAAAAAAAAAAAGTGGGTTATTCGAAATACTGTGAAATTACCAGCTATCTGCATAGCAATTGTTTAATAAATCTAAACGCCATCTGGTATTAAGTCTGGCCATATAAGACCTCCTAAAAAGTCAAGGTGATTTGTGCTCAAAATCTTTTCAAATATGAAAAACTGAAAAGTATGAAAAAGGTGACATTAATTTATTTCAATACTGTTAGAATAATGAAGTTCAGAACTCCAAATGTTATAGAACAAGGAAACAGCAATCTCAAAGAAGTCCAATTTGCAAAGAACATAAATTATAGAGACCATTTCTTTCTCCATGACATGTGCCAGAGCTCATAATACTCTGCATTCTTATTTTAAAACCCTTTACCTCTAAGCAAGGGTAAGACGATAAAATTAAGGCTATTATGAGGCAGTGAATTCATACAATTAATTTATTTTTTTCACAAGCAACTTCTGATGAGTCCATAGTTCTCATAGCATATAAAATTCACATGCCTGTATTAGCCACCTCATCTTCATTTTCTGCTGCTTCTCCTGTGGCAAACTGAAATAAACGTGAAAGAATATGCATGTATCTACCACAGACATTCCTAGTAAAAACGATAGGTTCTCTTAGATCTGCTACTAGCTGCTTGGATGATGATAATATCCCCAAATGAGTTCTAGCTGGAAGGAAAAGTAGTATCCAACTGTGAAGTAAAACATTAAATAACAAGAGTATCGTTTTCAGACTTCCTTTCTTAACTAAAAGGATACTGAAACCTACCTTTTTACAGGAATAATGAATCATGAGATATCTGCTTTCAAATGATCTTATCTGATACTTAAACAGTCCAGGTTCTCACCAGTACTCATATGTGAGACCAGTCAGCAAAAATCACACAAACCAAATAAGCTGGACAGAAATTGGTCTTACTGTTCCTGTTGAGCTGGCAGACAGGGAATACAGGGAAGACAGAGACCATAATTTAAAAAAAAGGGACAAAACAATTCTTCCCAATGTGGTTTTCTATTTTAGAAGAAGGTTGGAGTTTACAGCCATTTCCTAGCTGAAATTCCTTCACACATGCATCTCCAATCCCGATGTCCTTGTTACATACTTCTGTAACTTTTTGCACTTCTCTGAAGCACTGACACATTAAATTGAGGGACATGGAGCACTTGTCCAGAAAAGCATTTGGGATTCTGTGAGAGTGGAAAAAAAAGCAGTCACTGAAGCTGTGAATTCATACTTGATGACCCAAAGCTCTGACCATCAGTATCTGCAGAAGCTTTTTTGTTAGCTTTACATTTTAACATATATGAAACTTCCTAACAACTCTGAAAAAAGGAGCACTGTATATGTCTTCCAGAGAGGAAACTGGATTAGAAGATTATGACATACTGAGTCCTATTTTCATGTGAGTTATTTAATTCCTTTCAAAGCTTTCTTCAGATTGTTATCAGAGAGGAGTCATATGCTTGCCTGACTTCTGTGCATCACACTGGGAGTCTATGGCAGAAGTCATAGAGATATGTTAGCAGGCTCCAGATCCAGTCGTCTGTCTTTACTTTCCTCCTTGCTCAGTTTGTGTGTATTTCTGGGACTTCTGACAGGATACATAAACAATATTTTGGAATTTTGACTTTCTATACAGTCTAATTAAGCCAAAAGATTTAAGAAGCATAAGGAGTCTTATTAACCCAAAAGCAGGTTTTGTTGGTAACTGGACGAATTACTGCTGGCAGTACTGTTATGGACCACTACAAGACCAAAGTTTACAACTTTTCTAGGGGTTTCTAGGCTCCTCTGCTATTCCTCTAATACAACATATATTCTGTTCTACTGTAAATCTGATTTTCACTCTGTTGGGAAATAGGGACTGTTCATTTCATAGTCAAAATTTCCAGTAATTATACGACATTACACATTTTCACATTCTAGAAGCTCAGCTTCAAGCTCACAAAAAAAACCCTCAACATATACTATTTAGCCAGTTCATAGCTTCTCCTGACAACTGATATACCATGCAACTATGCAAATCCAGACTCCAGCACAATTCTAGTCACCTTACCTTGGGGACGTGGGCAGTGACTTGCCCTCTGGCCGCTGGGCTTCTAAAAGCTGCTGGAGTTGGTTCTGTAATGTAACACGTTCCACTGTCTGCCTGCAAGAAAATGTAAGACTGTTTATTTACCTTGAACTGTAAAACTGTCAGCATTAGCAGCCTACAGGATAACTGATCCTACCCATTCAACTTTGTATTCAAAAAGTAAGTCCTTTTCACCTATACATAGTAAGTAAAAAGAGAAATTATAAATAACAGCACAAACTGACAGCTTGTACTTGTCTCTGAATTCCTGTGGATATTTTGTGATGACTGCACAAGATCAACTGAGAGATACTTACCTGTCAAAGATTATTTATTATACTTCATAGAAGGAAAATGTGGAAGCAGCAGTCCATTGGAACCCACTGACTTACAGAAAATAATAGCACAGAAACAACGATATGGCAGAACAAATGCAGGGCCACTTGGTTCCTACTTGTTAGTGTAAAGGAAGAGGAAAGGGTCAGATTAAGAAGTCACTTCCTACATTTTGTAGTTGGCTTTTACTGAGCTAAATGATAGCTCAGACAACTGCTCTCTTCTATCTGCAAATAAACTCAGAGAGGAGCTTTTGCCCACTGGTCTAATCCTCTTCAATTGCAGAATGGAGCTAAGTATGATCTCTGTATAATTCAGTGGAGTAGGAAAAAACCACACCTGCTTGCTGCCCAAACATATCACAGATCCTACCTGTGCTCTACACCAACTTTATACTCAGTAGTGCTGTAGCTACTGTAGCCTTCAGTCTGGTGTGATCTGCACTGATTTGTAAATAACTTTAAAGACCATTGTTTAAAAAATTGTGATAGTACATATTAATTGTTAGTTTTACGAAAGTGACATCCATAGTACAGACTCCACCATCGAAATGTAATCATAATTTCTCTTATCCTGTCACATTCTTACTTCGATCAGAAGGACTCAGTTCTACAAGATAACCTGCAAACCTTCAAGTAGTTCTATGAACTATGAACCTTCAAATGAAGGCTTAGCTCTATTTGCCTAAAAAACTTTTTCTCCCATTTCCCTCCCATCCAATTTAGACCTTCCATTCTAACATTCAAAACACCCACACCTTTAGCCTGTCAACCACTACAGTTAACATTCCATCTTGTTTAGTGACCTCTAAGTTCCAGTGCTTCTAAACACTGCCCAGACAGAATTATTGGGAAACTACTAAGAAACCCAAGAGACTTACAGCTTTTTGTTACTCTCTGTATGGTACCTTTCATCTGGAATATAATTGGTATATTTGGTTTTATTTCCTGGTCCTCATAAAATCACCATGTGAAAATGACTTTTTACCTGCTTCTTCCAGGCTCTGCTTCTGTTGCTGTAGAAGTAATATATTTTTAGTACTTTAATTCTTGTTGGATCTGCAGAACTAATACAGTTCTCCACCAGTGAGCTGGACTCTTTCCTAGCTCACATGCAATCAGCAGAAGAGTTAGCTGAGTTCCAAGCGCAGCCTTTGTAACTGGCAATGTGAAAGCCAGAATGACTCCAGATGACTTTTTAGACTAGGGGTTGTACTTTCAGGGCTGGCAGAAAACCAGACTTTTTAGTTTTAAGATATCAGAGTGGATCTGAAAACTGCTACAGAAATAAAGGTAGGATTTTGACATACTGAATTGCCATCACATTTTACAATACAGACATGCTTTATGTAGATCCTTTCTTCTTTTAATTTTCCATCTTCCTTCCTCTTGCCTACACACTTCCTTAGATTATTTTAAAATTACTCCTACCATCTGTCAACATTGGCTTATATTTCAGATATCCCAGATACTCTCTTTTAAGAGCCAGGGAAATCTGCATTTTGAGATTAGACTGTGATGCAGTTTATCTGCTTTATTTGCCGTTTATGCTTCCTTCAACTTCTAAATAACTAATGTAGCTAACAACTTCTTATGCTTTTAGCTGTAATGGAAATCTCTGACACCTCTTCTACTGAGTTAAAGTTCTCATTCCACTTAAACATCTTACTATGCTAAAAAAATTGAAGTTTCCTCTATTTTCGCAGTTCAACTAGTTAGCAAATAGCCCACAGAAACCCACACATCTTGCCAGAACTTTCCCTAAAGGGACATATACACATATATATCTAACATAACATTGAAAATGAGTGATCATAACTTCTTGGAATATTTAAGTATTAAAACCAGACTGATTTAGGAGACAGGATCACTATAGCTTCAGGGGAAAAAAGGTCTACTTACTTTATGGTATTTAATGCCCAAATTTTGAAGGTCTTAGCTTAGATAATGTTCACAGTAAGTAATACGCAAGGCCACTTCTGTGTCTACTTAGACAACTGTGGATTCCCACTACTACGTAATGCGATCAGGGAGCTCAATAACTGCAGAAGGAACAATCTGAGGCATTTGGCTCTACTGAATTATCTGTCATAGTATGTTGCCTTACTTATTTGCTTTGTTTCAAATAAAGGAATGGCCACTCTATGAAGCTAAAAATAGAACAGCTGAACTAAGTAGAAAAGAGATGAATAGATAATTGTGAAGTATATACTGGGTTTCTTATATCTCTGTATATCACTTACTACCAAAAAACCACCCTCAAAAAAACCACTCCCCACCAAAATCTAACCCAATGCAAAACCCCAAAACACACTAGCAACTTGCACACACCATAGCACACCTCCGCAATAACTTTTTTATTCAGCTGTTTTTCAGCTATTCCTCTGAAGTTTTAGGAAAACCATGGATTTTGTTTACAGAACACAGAAAAGTGTGTTTACAGAACACAGAAAAGAGGATATTAAACCACTCTCTTATCTTCATCTTTTGATTCATGGTTTGCTTTGATCTTTTGGCTTGTGTATCAAAAGATACAAGATTTTGGCTTGTGTATCAAAAGGATCAACGAATCTCTCACTGATTAACTGCTTTGCACATCCAGGCCTGTAAATGTAGGACAGTGCAACCCTTTGGGAGTGCATGTAGAGCCATCTGTCATGAAGCAGAATTGTAAAAGTAGTCTAGGAAAGCATTAATTTTATGTCATTAGTTCTGATCTGGTCTCTTCAGGCCAGGAAAGTCCAAACAATACAAATCATTACTGCTAATGTCATCAGTGCTAGAAACTATGCATTTGTGAAAGTAGGAATTCTCTACACTGGCATCTATGGTTTTTAAAGCAGATTAAATCAGTGAGGAAATAACTAAGACTTTAAGACTTATGGAGATCTCAGAACTAAAATGAAAGGCAATATTTTGTATAGACTCTGCAAGAAACTTTTGTGTCATAAGCATTTTGTTTAATTCAGAAAGTCCTACTGGATTGAGAAGAATTCTATAGTTAGTAAGAGATGCAAACCTAAGCTTTTATTTTGAAACCAGTAACAGTTGGGTTTTTTTTAGTTCCTTCCCTCTTTTGAGAGAAAGTATCAGTTAATATTCTTGTGAAGATTCAACGGAGCATTTGTAGTTGAGCTGCTTTGGATCAAAGAGCTGAGAGTGAGGACTCTGGCAAATGTGATTTTACTGTTTGGGTTGTGGGCCTTCTTTTCAGGAATGGCTCCAAAAAGTGAGATGAATTGGGATCACTTTTCTCTAGAACTGCTCTGTGTTGCCTTGAAGATTGAGGGCTCATGAAAAGAGAACAAAAGAAAGTACTTCCTTCTTTGGTTTAGGACCTTTGAAGACAGGTCTTGGTAGGTGCTGGTCTAAGACAGTTTCTGTGCTGCAGTTCTTGCACGATATCAAACACTCTGGTCTTCCTGTAGCTGGGGAGATACGGTGTTATCAGAGACAGGCTACTAAGCACCCAGAATAAAAGAAGACTGAATGATCAGCTCATGTTTTCAGCAGTTGAGGGAAGGCTGGGAAGCACATTATGTGTTGATGTGAACCATTCAGGTGATCCATCATGATGCAATCATAGCTCCTCTGTCTCTAGAACTTTGTCCATTAACACCAGCAGAAATAGGTGGAGGAAATACAGGAAAGCCAGCTGATCTAGCCAAGTTGGAGCTATCCTTATGTAAATGCAGTTTGAAGTGATTAAGCATAAACAGGACTTCCATCGGTTGCTATCTGGTGCTTTCAGGATATTCAGAGCTGCTGTAGCCAGTGAATTCTCCTGTTATGCTAGAGGTAAATATGGTTGAGAAGATGCCGATGCCCAGGCATGTACTTGGATTTTTAAGCAGGATGGGCCTGCAAAGCAGTGCAAGATTTTTCTGTCATCCTCTATAGCTCCTGAGCACCAGCCTCTGAACATGGTCCATTGCTTCTATCAGAGCCACTCACAGCCTGAAGCTTGCAGCCCAAATAGCCACATAAAAGCTGCTCTTTTAAGCAGAAAATAAAGTATTTCAACTGCAACAGGACTGCACAACAGACTCAGTCTCTTTGTAGACATGGAAGAAAAGACTGATGCTGCAGTTACTGGAGCTAAATCTAAAGCCTGAAGAAATAGGCTGCTGAAAGGAAGAAGATTTAACTCCATCTGAGACAAGTAAAGGAACCCACCAGAAGCCAGATAAGAACAATTTAAATGACTTCCTATGTGTGCAGTCTATGAGGTGACAGGGAGAGACTTGAAAAAGTGGCAGTATTTTTGTCAGAACTAGACTATTTCTATAGGGGAATACAGCCTGCTCGCTGACGTTACAAGTTTTTCTTTTCCATATGAGAGATAACATATAAAATACAGGGTGAGCACTGAAAAGAATTGAAACTGGGAGAATCTGAGGTTGCCATTCCTACTTCTTGGTGTGTGCAATTTTTTTCCTGCGAGTTATGAGGAAAACAGATTTCATTATATATTGAGATGATTCAGATGGTGTCCTAGGTTTAGCAGTAGCAGTCATTTTTGTCCTTCTTGGTAGCTGGTGCAGTGCTGTGTTTTGACTTTCGGCCTGGGAGCAGAGCTGATGAAAATGATGTTTGGGTTTGGCCAAGGACTTTGTGAGCCTCATGCTCTGACAGGGAGGAGGGGAAACTGGGAGGAAGCAGAGACAGGACACCTGACCCAAACTGACCAAAGAGGTATTCCATACCACAGCACGTCATGTCCTGGAGGTAACTGGGAGCTACCCGGAAGGGCTAAAGGGACTGCAGGGTTGGAGGAGGTATCAGTTGGTGCTTGGTTGGGCTGGGGGGGATGAGTTATTGGTCGCCTGGTGATGAGGTGTTGTATTCTCTTCCCTTGTTATTTCCTTTATCATTACTATTATTGGTGGCGGCAGTAGTGATTTGTGTTATACCTTAGTTACTAAACTGTTCTTATCACAACCTGTGAGAGTTGCATTCTTTTTGATTCTCCTCTCTGTTCCCCCAGGAGTAGGGGGGGGGAAGAAGGTGGGGAGTGGGTGAACAAGCTGTCTGGCTGGCGTTAAACCACAACAGATGGTAATGCAGGCTACTCAGGAAATACCCTACGTTCTCTTTTTTTTCCTTTTATACCAGCTGATTTGTATATTTTAGTATTTTCCAGCGAATGGACCAACTACAAAACGCACCTGGTACATAGGATTATCAGAAACTATTTTCATGGCTTGGGGTAGCTGACAAGCTCTTCATCATGCATCTAAGTCAAAACAATGTTAGGTCAGTTCTGATGCGTTCTAGGAGTCTTATGAGCCTATTAACATTACTAAGTCACAATAACTGCATCTACAATAATAGCAAGCAATTGCGTAAATTCATGTTTCAAAATAACAGACTTTTTACAGAATGTTTAATAAAAAACATACAAAAATATTCAAACCACCTCCTATGAAGAAAAAACAGATTATATTTCCCAAGAAGCCATTGCGGGCTTTGGTGACCTTTCAAGTCCAACCTCCCCCCCTGCAACTATTTTCATTATGTTTCCCAACATCAGCCCCCAGCACTGTAATTAGAAAAAGAAACTCACTGTATATAAAAGCATGCTGTGTGAACAGAAATTATGATCAGCAATGATGTGATCCCTAGGTATGCAAACAGAAAAGGGACTGTATTGCTTCATACATATCCTGTTCCACTCCCACTCCTTTCATCGATGTTCATAGCAAACTGCTACAAAGAGAGCAGCTGAAAAACTGAACTGTTAAAGGTGAAGGCGCAAATTCTTGAGAACAGGAAAGAGTGGAGAAATAAGGTAGAAATATGACTTGAAAGTATCATACATAAGTAGAAAAGAGACACTGCTAATAAATTGAAGACAAAGTAGGGTATTTTAAGAATGATTCTGATGCTAGCAATGAAACACTTACTCCTTCAGCTGCTTAGTTAGCTTGACCACCTGAGAGGCCAATGACATACACGTCTCCACAACTACCAAGTAGCGGGAACACATGGTGTGCCCATGTCGTTCAGCACTTTGTGAGGGTTTCTCTCCCACATGATTTTGCATGGTGACATTTGCTCCATATTCAACCAATGTCTGTAAAAACACAGAATGAAACATTGACATCTGTAAATGTCTCTGTTCTGACTTCTAGTTAAGCACAATATTGACTGGGCCCAAATCACTCCTGAATAAAATGCTTGGAAATACTGGTCTAAGCCAATCCACTTCTAACAATCGGTCACTTTCAATTCTGTATGCAGAGTGAGCTCAAAACACATACCATCAAAATCTATCAGTCAGGTGCAAGGATAACACAGAAGAATGAGCTGTTGTTCAGAAGAACTAAGAAAAGCTATATTCTTTCTTCTCCCTTTGCAGTTCTAGTCAGTCTTCTGTTCGTTTTTTTGTACAGTACAGCATGACTTTTAGTATTCATAGAGTGAGCGGGACTACCAAATGAAAACACAGGACTTACTTTCAGGCACCTATTATCTCCTGGTAATCAATACTGAGCCACAGTAACAAAAGTTTTCAGATGCATGTGTCTATGCATTACTGAACATTGTGCTAAATTTGCACATGGTAATTTTAAAAAAGAAGACACAGGCAAGTGCAATTCAAATGACTTGATAACATTAGGGTCCAGGGCAGACTGAACACATTGCTAGCCAATTTACAGAAGATGGTGATCAGCTGTATTGGCTTACCAGGTCTGGTATCTACTTTCTTGGGATGTCTGTGCTGCACTGAAACACACCCTTAGAATCTCAATTTAGGAGAGTCTTTACTACAGTATTTGCTGACTCCTTTTCTGGTTTAGCTCTTAATTTCCTAATTTAAGTTTAAAACACTCAGCAGACTCAGTCTCAATTTCCTGATTTCTTAGCCAAATGATGTTTGGATATGAAAATTATGGCAGATACTTTTCAACAATGCCTTTAGGTCAGACAGACAAAAAATTCTTTTTGCAGGAAAAAAAAAGTATGTACAACTACTTTTCCAATCTGATTAGATTTTCTTTTATTTTTTTTTCCTTTTTCTTTTTCTTTGTTCTGTTTGTTTTGTTTTTGTTTGTTTGCTTGGGGTTCTTTTCTGTATGTGTGTTTTTAATGCTGAAAGAAGTCTCATTGCTTTGCACTTGTTTGGTTACCCTCTCTGTTCTCCTTTAAAGATATACTCAAATATATGCCAACTTTTAGTCTTTAAGAGAAATAATGGCTTATACTTTGATGTATATTCCTGTGTTACTCACAGTGCTAGCAAAGAAACCTATCTTGTTGCTGAAGAACTATCTAAGTTGTGAGCATTACATTTGAGTTACTTCGGGGACTTGAATCCAGAGCATTGTAAAGGCAAAGAAGTTCTGTTAGATTGACCTCAAGACATCCAGTCACTGAATCAAGAATTGAGACCAAACCTTCAGCCTTTTCAATCTGTTTATGATAATCAGTATTATGCACTATTTGCTTTACTGGTGTGCATTTAAGATAGGACCTAAACATTCTCAGCAGTGTTCAGACACAGATTGCTCATAGCACTTTGGAAAAAATTCTGAATAAAATCATAATGCATTCTTAAACTACAGCATTATTAACATCACACGTACAGATGAAGAAGAGGTATTGTGTAGCTGAGCTCTTGGTTGACTTATGGAGGCAGAGTTGGTAATCCACCAAGCATTGGACTGGCCTTGTTGACTAAGAACAGTAGGCACAGAGACCTCTACATCTGCTTACAGAGAAGAGGAATGGTGATCTGTCTGGGCTACTAATCTATACAGAAAAGGAACTTACCGAAAGTCTTTCACTGCATCTCATGTCAATAAATTTGGTTTTATTTTCCAATAAAGAAAATAAAGAAAGTTCTGTAGAAAGCAATCTTATAATTTGGAACACAGTAAGACTGTCACCAGCTTAATGAGAAGGCCAGAGCATCACTGGCAGGTGGTGACCCTCCCATCTTTTGTAATGCTACTTAGAATCTCCATGCCTCCTTTATCACTTCTTTCCTTTTACCATATCATTCACTGTATATTGTTTTAAATTAGACTATAAACTCACTTGGAATAAGGCTTATTTTGTTTAGAGGACAACAAAACCTCAACTACACTTAAGACTGAGGTGTTCATGAAGTGACACTACTAACATTGTATATTTTTGTTGTCATTAGATATTTTCATGTTTTATTTATCCTGGTTTCACTTCAGCGCAAAGCACTTCTTGATTTGTACATTTATCTACAATAAAATAATATTGAGAATTCTAAGCTATTTATTAAGGTTAATTCTTCACAGGGAAAGCAGGGCTATTCTCTTTTTTGTTTTGTTTTATCCATGAAAACAGCCTGCAGATGTCACCACTCTGTTCAAAATCATCTACTCTCATTTCTCTTTGAAATTCATTGTCCGTCTTGATGAGGCACTGCTGAGTTAGCAACACACCCTACCACAGTGGTGCTCCCCCCAGTAAATCATCAACATTTCTTCTATCCACTTTTTTCAACTGATAATAGTTTGTCTACAATATTAAAACCACTAAATTTAGCATGGATGTGATGATCTATTTATTTTTTTCTCATAAGGGTTTGTAGAGGGTCCATCCCTGACATCTTAAAAAAACAGACATCAGTGAGAAAATGCAGAGACAGTCACTTCCAAATCTATTTGACTTTGTTCTGTTCAAGTCTATTCTTTCAGCTCGGCTGCCATCCGTTTTCCTTTTTTCATTGTGTGAGACTCTCAAACTGGCTTTATGGAGTTATGTCTTCTTGGTGTCCAGGTATATAGATAGACTGCTATAATAATAATAAGCAGCTATGCATCTGCAGATTTAACATAACTGTGCACTCCGGAGAGGTTAGATAATGAGAACTGACTAGCTGTATTTCTTTTAGGGTTGAATTAATACAGATTTTCTGTATTTGCAGTAAACTAAGAAGTGCTGTCATATATTGTAACAGGATTAAGTCATCTACTGATATATGAGTCCTTAGCCTCTGGGAATTACTTCTCCTTCTCATATAATTTTTCCTCCCCTACCTGAATTGATCACCTTGATTTCTGTTTCTTACCTTTCTGCCATGTGGTTATTTATTCTTTTATCTGTTTTTATACAATAACTGATTTGTTTCTCAAATATATTTCTGAAATCATTTTATTATTATTTCTTCTCCAATCAGCTTTCACTTTAATTGCCGACAACAACAAACACGGAAATGTACTTATGTAACTAAAGCTTCTAGCAACTTTGATGGTCGAAAAGTACATCAGCAATTCAACTGCAAATCTGCAGAGTTGAGATGTTTAACCTCACCATCCAGGTCAACCTTATAGCTTTTTTGGTATGTCTGCACTTGACAAAGGTACTGTAAAGAGGTATCCAAACTGGTTTATTCAGATCTGGCTCCCAGAAGTACTATAGCTGCATAAGCCTTCTTAGCAGGACAAACTACCCTTTTCAGTGGCTCTATAAAACATAACTATATTGCTTTCAGTGGCCAAGCTGATTCATTGAGAAATAGTTAGAAATCGGCATTACACTGCATTACTGAGGATAGACAAATTCAAAAATTCTAAGTCTAGAAAGAACAGTTTACTCAGAGTGGAAATTCTTCAACATAGATAAACTTACTTGCCAGACTTTGCCTAAGCAGGAGAGCTACAAGTATTCATTGGAAAAAGAAATGGAAGTAAAATATCAGAAGAGTACAAGTATCTACTCTGGCTGCCTTTTTGTAACATAAAAACGTATACAACACTAGTTGCTCATGTATAAACAATATAACAATATAAGCACACTTTATTCTTGCAATACTACAGTTACTTTAGGCTTACAATAGCATAATTGACAAGAGAATCTAAATCCAGATCTTTTCAGTATTTCAGTCTGAGTCCTACTGGTTTAAAATTCTTCATTCCAGTATATTTTAATGTATCAATAATTATTCCCTCTTGTAAGATCTCTTAAAATAATTTTATTAGTCGTTTAATGTAAAGAGGTTTCTGGTACAGCTATCACTCTACCTGTATGCATCCTAGATAGCCATGTTGAGCAGCTATGTGAACAGCAGTATTTCCATCCTGGTCGACTTCATCCAGTGAAATGCCCTGTTCTTGCATGAACTGAAGAAGCCACAGAAGGATTTTCTCCTAGGGGGAGGGGGAAAGAGATGTCACCAAAAAAAAAAAAAAAAATGGTACAGACCTAAATGTGCTAGATTATGGCTACTGTTTTCTGTTACTAATGCTGTCCAATACTTCCTTGTTTTCATCTCTTAACTTTGTAGGACTTAGTGTATCATGGGTCTGCCTCTGTTTGTTTGTCCCCTAGGTAAATAAGCTGAAGTACTTTGTTTTATAAAAAGACATACTAGGAAAAAGATGAGTACTGTAACACTGTTCTGTTATTACTGTACTGTAATTCTGAAAAATTGTTCACTAAAAAGCATGCATGCCTGCATATTGCAGGGGAGACCTTGGGCAGAAGAGCCTGTATGTCAATCTTAAAATCAGCTTGTGAAAAGCCTCTTTGGAAAACTAAAGCACAAGTATGTGCAGGTCACAGAGCTGAGCAGTTAAGATTCTTCAAATCTATCAGATGCCCAACTCTGGGATGTTTTGCAAGAGTAGCAATATAACTAAACCCAGGAAATCCCTCTACCCTGAGTTCTCAGTCTATTGACTAATTGACTGCCTGTATGTGATTGCATGTTGGGAAGGATGGGAAAACATGAACTGCAGACTTGGAAGCGGAAGTCTGGAAGCCAAAACTGAGATGCCAACCTAACTCTTTTCAACATTGCTTTTTGCACATGTATGCCAGTGTATATGTATACACATTTACAGTGTACACGTATACACATTTATATGGGTATTCTTTCCTAATAATGGACAGTTTACATAAGTGCACTATGCTTATTCTATTTCTTGTCCCAGCAAGTTTATTTGGAAAAATCTCTCTAGGAACCTTCCATGACTCTCCAGATTAAATTTCATTGTGCATTGCTGAACATGATACATAATGAAAATCTAGAATTAATCTACAGATTACATTAAAAAGTGAGGTCCATTAAAGGGTAGCTGACTACAGCTGTAGTCACAGTTTTTGCATCTGAATAGCTGGAAAGAATAAATTACTTTCTAGCTTAAAACTTTATTTTAAAGTATTTTTCTTATCTTCCATTGACATCTTATCTTGTGTTATACTAGGTAGGAGCTCTAGTTCAAAATGGTTTCTAGTCTTGATGAGGCAAATGCCAGTACACAGACTTAACCTGCAGTACCTCAGTAGCTTCAGTGATACTAAGTATGTAATCACTCACAGTCAGATACATGGGCCTGCACAAATGAAATATACCTAAATGAAACAGTACTGAAAACATGTCTAGGACTCTGAGCAGTAATCAGGTAGGAAAGAGAAAGAATAAAAATGAGAAAAGGAAATTCTACCTAGTAACCTTGAGCATAATATTTTTTTTTTTTATTTTTTTTTTTTTTTGTGTCTAAAAGTACCACAGAAATGTCAGTATCAAGGGAAAAGAGATTCGGGCTCTTTTAGGTTTCTTCCAAATGATTCTGCTTATTCAAGCACCTGGATCTCTGCTTACTGCTTCAAAGGGCTAGTCTGTCTGGAACTTATCTTCTTCATATTTCCACTTTAACAGCAGTTTTGTTTTTATTACAGGGTGAAGGGGTAGGTATATTTACTTCTCCTTGGCTGAATGCCCAATATAGCTGACAGCCAGCATGGAGAGATGACTTCAGATCACATATCCCTTTTAAAATACTTTTGAGCAATTTCTTGAGATGCCTGTGGTGTTGGCCAGCTGTGAAAAAAGGATTACACTACTCCTATGAATTGCCCTTATGTTTTAATAATTAAAAGAAAAATATATTAGCAAAACTCCTCTGTAGAACTGGAAGACAGCTACAGCTTTGAAATCATATGTTTATTTGAAACATAGTAGGAACTAGACTGTTAAGCATGTTCTGTAATTTTATGATCACTATCATCATGGAGCAAATGATGCTTTCTAGTCATTTATCTTATCAACATGGAAATCAAGTGCCTGGAAGGCTAAAGGTAATCATCTGTACTTAGGACTGTCTGTGCGTCAGCTGACCACAGGCTCAAAGTCAAAGGCCTACCCAAACAGTTTGTGTTTCTCTCAAATGACCATATTTTCCAACAAATGTACTCTTGACAAAAACAAAACAATCCAGTGCAAAATAAAAACGCAAACCCAGCTGTTCTCTTCATTTACACCTAGGGAAAATGAAAAATTATATGTGAAAATATGTATCACTTCAGTAACACATTACTTATTTGGGACAAAAGTGTTCTTAGGAATAGGTTATAACAATCAATTTACTCAGACAAAATGAAAGATCAGAAAATTCATGTGATTACGATAATGGAAAGTAATCACATATTTGTTATGTAACAGGAAATGACAAATACTGACAAATTACTTAGTCTATCTGATACTTCTAAGACCTACAATGGCTTTATGTTGTAGCAGTGGTTAATAACCTCTGTCACATATTCTAGGCCTATAATATAATAATTCAAGCCTCCCTAAAAATAGATTCTGGGAAAAATATCACAATACGTAACTTCTGCTTTGCGACTGGCTGCAGACTTTGCCTCCACCAAAGCCTTTTGCTGGGTTTTGGGGCAGAAAGAACTAACAAGCACCATTTAAACCATTAGACTACAAATGGAAGGCTTAGCATGGTGAAGAGGACCAACTCGAATCTTAACCTCATCAGTTGGTATTAATTAAATAAGATACCCTTCCCAATATCCCTTCACCATAGCAGAGTGAGTGAAAACAACACATTATTCTTGCAAAAATGACATTAGACAGGAAGTCAAACATCCTGAAGGTGAAAAATAGGTGTGTTGTTAGACATTTGTATACCTGAATGTCACACTGTCCTGCCCATTGTGCTCTCCACATTACACCATTGCCAAGTGGTGCCCGGTACCCTTTCTAGGTTCTCAGTCATGCTGCAGCTCTGCTTCCCTAAGGTTCCGTTAGACTGTCTGGCTCTTCGAGGCAACATACCCTTGGCATTCCCCCCACCTTCTGCCTCTTCTGTGCTAGTCTATGCTACCGCAGTATCCATGTTGGAAGAAATTACAGCCTTGTGAAACTCTTACTCAGGAACTACTGCTATGTGCACCTACGACTGCACCACCACTTCTTCCTGTCACATGGTGTCTGTGCCAGACATAGCTGGTACACAATCTGACATGTACCTGTGATTTATACCTGGCATGGAGAGGACTGCCAAAAACCCTGCTTGCTTCTTGCATAATCCCATGCTTAAGGAAGCCCTTGATAGGAGCAGCTGACCAGGCTACAGGTTGACTTTAAGCTCTTCCTATCTTCCATCACATGAACTTATGTAGTTCCTTTCTCACTGGAAAATGTAACATTGTTGAGATGTCTTTGGAGTCAGGCCATGACTGTGGTTTGATGACCTTCAACATAGGAGCTATGCTACAAACTCCCTTTTGCTGCCCATTCTAAATGATATTTATTGAAGAAAAATAAGGTGGCCATGTCTAATGCCTGGGGAAACAATGGATGGACTGACTCTTTTAGAAAATGATTCAATAACAGGTCTTCCTTGTAAAAATATTACTCTTGTAGTTCTGCCAAGACTAGTGTTTACATGGATTATCTCTCATGTAAGTAATGGTAAAATAAATCAAAACTTTGAGGAAAGTGCCAGCTACATATTTGAATTTCTCAAAGTTGTTTTTTTTTTTTTTTGTCTTAACACAGTTGGGTAAGACAGTCTGGCAAACATTCAGCCTCAACATTCCCTCATGTTTGTAAGATGTTTATGAATTATATATATATACATATATATATATATATAAGATAATTGCTATTACATGTGAACTTTCTTTGGCATTCAGCTAACTAAGAAAAATTGTCAGCAATTTATATATTACCTTTTTAAATTTCATGGGTGGCTGGTGTTTCTTAACTGGTAGAGCTTCCATCCTTCTCTGAAAAGAATCTATATAAAGGGTGCCAGGTTTGTTCCTGGCATTAGATAGGACAGCTGACTGAAAAAAAACCCAAAGCTTACTGGATTTAGCTTGTACAAATATTTTCAGAGATGAGGACAAAATTAGGCCAATCAATTGAAGATACAAATGTAAGTTCACATGAAATTTTCTTTTCCATATGTTTTCTTCCCATTAGCAAACACACCTTTCTTGAATCCAATCCTGATCTGACTCCAAGCCTCCCTAAATTCAGTGCTACGTTTACAGGCCAAACTTGCTGTGGAAAGCAGGACACCACCAATCAGTATATTCAGCAGGGTCCTAACTTGCACCGGTAACATCTGCACAGTAGGTGAATGGAAAAAAGGCAAAGGAGATCTTTGCATAGCATGAAATCAACTGTGTCTTTGTGCCTATGAAACAGGAAGAGAAAGGGTAGACTTCCAGCTCAGCCTTCCAAACCTGCCCCCTCTCTTTCCTTCCCCCTCCAGTAAATTCATGCCTGGCAGGATCAGTTAGCAGAAATATGCCACCATAATTCTATGGCACTGAATAAGACAACCACACTTGTACAGGAAAGAAAAAGATAATTTTCTTAGTGGTTACATTTTGCTTGTCCTTGCTTAACAATTAAAGAGAAAAAAAGCATTAGGACAAAAATAGTGGGGTTTCTGCATTTATTCTTAATCTCTGTTGTAGAAACTGAGTGATAAACTGGACCACCTGCCAAAGAGATTATAGAAAAATAACCGATCACTATTCCTTGTATAGAAGATCCTGGAGAAAGTCTGCTGAATGGAGGTTATTGCAAGGTCTACTTAGGAAAAACAGACTGTGGGATGAGAATGTGGTGCGGTTAAGTGGTATGTGTTTCCCCAGACATTAGAAAAGCACTGAAATGCTGTACTTCTTGTGGCTGCTGATCATTAGATTTATAGATAAGTGAAGTGTGGAAGAGGATTGATTTACAACATATTTTTATATGTAATTCTCAATAAAACTGGCTAGAAGTAGGCAGATGGTATTCAAGTTTCACCACACTTCACTGCCAATATACTGAATTCCTGAATTCCCACAATTTGCCAATTTTTTTTTTTAATTAATCTCTCCTGGAAAGGAAATGTGAACTATCCCCAAATGTTTGATGATTTTCTAGTATGTCCTAGGAGTCCTCTAGGGATTATGACAGCTCATCTCCCTACATGTTGGGGGGTTGGAACTAGAGGAACTTAAGATCCTTTCCAACCCTAACTATCCTATGATTCTATGTTCCTGAGACTGATAGGTTGGCCTAATATGCCAGCTAATCTTCTCCAAGCCATTAGTTAAAAAAGAACAGAAAGAAAGAAAGGAAAGAAAGGAAAGAAAAGAATGAAAAGGAAAGAAAGAAAGAAGGAAAGAAAGGAAAGAAAGAAAGAAGGAAAGAAAGAAAGAAAGGAAAGAAAGAAAGGAAAGAAAGAAGGAAAGGAAAGGAAAGGAAAGGAAAGGAAAGGAAAGGAAAGGAAAGGAAAGGAAAGGAAAGGAAAGGAAAGGAAAGGAAAGGAAAGGAAAGGAAAGGAAAGGAAAGGAAAGGAAAGGAAAGGAAAGGAAAGGAAAGGAAAGGAAAGGAAAGGAAAGGAAAGGAAAGGAAAGGAAAGGAAAGGAAAGGAAAGGAAAGGAAAGGAAAGGAAAGGAAAGGAAAGGAAAGAAGAAAGGAAAGGAAAGAAGAAAGGAAAGGAAAGAAGGAAAGAAGAAAGGAAAGGAAAGAAGGAAAGAAGAAAGAAAGGAAAGAAGAAAGGAAAGAAGGGAAAGAAAGGAAAGAAAGGACAGAAAGGAAAGAAAGGAAGGAAAGAAATGAAGGAAAGACAGGAAATACAGGAAAGGAGGGGAGGGAGGGAGAAAGAATACCTCCCCCCACCCCCCCGCCCCAATTTAAGAGGGAACATACTGAAAAAAATACAGAGATTCAGTGGGAAAAGATTTTCTATATTTGAACTAAGAACACCTGTAATTAAAAGCCATAAAATGATAATAATGCTTTACATTGAAATTCTTCTAAAAGCACCTAAATAATCTATGCCAAAAAGTAAATTAAAGTCATACCTGGCCATAGCAACCTGCATAATGAATAAGGCTTGGGTGGTCTTTTGAGCAACTTAATTCTGCAATAGCTTCTGTTTCGCTGACCATCCATCGAACACACTCCAGCTGGCCATTCTAAACAAATTAAAAAAGATAAATTCCAATTGTTTCTGTTCTAAACACGTCTATTAAACATTGAAAAGTTTATTAGAATTATTAAAATATTATGTAATTCCAGTTTGTCTGAAAATGTGTTATCTGCTCTCATCTAATGCACTTGTTTATCTTGTCCCGTTATCAGTTATGGTTTGGCTATTGATTACAGTGAAAGTGGCAGTCAAACAGTACTACACACACAACCTGGTCCTGACTGTCAGACTGTTCAGAGAAAAACCATAGTTCTGTTTTCATCACTTGTACAGCAAGGCTCAATGACTAAATAAGATAATTTGCTGGAGCAGACTGAACAGTCTCTCTACAAACTCTGATACGCACTAATCACTATTCAAATCCATGCTTCCTAAATTATTCTTATGTACATAGTAGCTGAACACCTAATCCTCATGGATTAGGACCTATCTGTAATAGATACTGTATAAACAGAAACAAGGAGGTGGTTCTTGGCCTGAACACATTTACAGCCTAGTTTCAAGACTTCCAAGCTGCTATGCACACTCCTAGTAGTTTGCAAGTTACTGTGAAGTGGGATGTCGATGCTTTGGAAAGATATGAACATTTTCTTCAGAGCACACTTGTGGCCCAGTGTAAAGGCAAGAGGTTTTAGCAGCTTCTCCTGCTGCAGCTTCTTTTCAGCAACGGTACCTTGCTAAATGCAGTTTTGCAACACCTACATTCCAGCCTGTTCTTACTTAATTTTTCAGCTCTCATGTTCATAAAGGCTATTATATTCCTTTATAGCTGAAACAGGTATTTCAATTGCTCAGTCAAAACCTCAGAGAGATCAACGTATGTAAATATAAAAAGCTGTTTGCGTACATTAAACAGAAAAAGCTATCATGAGAAGGAAAGAAATATCCATTTAAAGTTTCAGTTTTATTTTTATAAAAACAAAGAGAAGACTGTAACAAATATTAACCCATTTACAACTATATGGGAGAAATAAAAACTGGAATAATATTAAACTGATATTTGTCTTATTCTTTCCATATGTAATGTATGTATATAAACACAAAAATGTACACCATTATATTTTACTTACTTTTCTTTTTTTCTCTCAATGTCAATAATGAAGTGAAACAAGGAAGATACTTTTATTCTTTTTAGTATATTAGAAAAAATCCCCCTTATATTTGGGTTCGAATATTAGTGACTAATAATTTTTAATTTTGTTTTTCCTTTGTATCACAACTGAGTAAAATGTTTTTGTATTTTTTAAAATTAAGCTAAAGAATTAATAAATGACTTGCTAAATAAGACAATTTTGCTAATGTGGAACAGATTTCTCAGCAGTTAGTTAAAATAACTTATCAACATGACAGTATGACATATCAACACTCCATTTTTCTCTCTCAAGCTCACAGCTAAAGGTCAGAAAGAGTACTATAGTCAAAATAATTAGTTTTAATTAATTAATTAATTACTGAGAAATGCTATGCATCATCAATGAATTGTTTAAATTCTCTTGCATGGAAATTTCTGTTCCTGCATACAAGTTTTCTTGTCGAACACAGGTGCATGCCCCACATGGTGTAGTATTATGGAACTCAGAATGGTATAACATAAGAGTAAGAATGAGTAAAGTCCATTCTATCAGCATGCAAAACCACTTTGGAAGGAAGACTCAAGCACTACAAAGTTTAATTATGCCAAATTATTTCAAGGCTGTCAAGAAATTTCACAATGATCCACGTCCAGTCCAGCCATGCAGGTCATCATTAGAAACACCTGGGCCTGACCACTCCATTTACATTAAAAACTCCATTACATTTACACAGTTTTCTGTGAATGTCAAAGCATGGTCAACTACTATAAAAATTATAGGAGCCAGTCATTAAAAAAGCTAACCTTTCTGAAGAATAAGACAAAAGATTTTATTTGACTATAAACACAAAACATAGGAAGGTTGGGAAAAAAAACAGCAAAAAACAAACAAGAAAGAAAATGGTTTCCAAGTAATATTCTAAGACTTTAAATTGGCAGACTATAACTATTCAGTTTGGCCATGGGCCAAGTTATTGAAGCTAAATACCTGACTTTTATAATAGCATTTCATTAGTACAACTAGCTGTCAGTTTATGTTTATATTCATATGGATTGTCCCAGAAAAATTAAAAGAAAACCACAATCCGGAAACCTGGATCAGGGCCATAGGTCATTGAAAAGATGTCTCAAAGATGCAAACCTGGAATCCACCAGTCTTCTTTCCATTTCTAAAGTTTTCCCAAGATGTAAATAACAATAAAACCCCAGAAGAGTAAGAAACTCTTGCATTGTATTTCACCCCTTTCCTTGTTTCTTCTTAAGGTATTTAGTGGATAAAAGAAATGACATCCAACTATTCAATCTCACTTACTAAAGAACCAGAATCAGTATGTTTAACTATCAGCCTTCCTGTGCACCACTATGTTTTATTTTAGTGCAGCAACAACAGTAATTTTCACATTTTCCTATGTAATGAGTGCAAGATCTTGGGTAGGGCCATCCCAGGCACAGCTACAGGCTGGGAGGACAAGTGACAGAAAGCAGTCCTGCAGAGAAGGACTTGGGGGTGTTGGCTGCTGAGATACTTAACATGAGCCGGCTTCAGTGTGCACTCACAGCATGGAAACCAACCATATCCTGGGCTGCATCAAAAGGAGCAGGTCAAAGAAGGTGATGCTGCCCCTCTACTCTGCTCTTGTGAGACCCCATGCTGAGAAAGTTGGAGCAGTTCAGCCTGGAGAAGAGGGGCTGCACAGCATTCATAGCATTTTCCAGTATCTGAAGGGAGAGTATATGGATAACAGAGAGGGACTCTTTCTTAGGGACAGTAGCAATAGGACAAGGGATAGCAGGTTTAAACTTAAATAGGAGAAGTTCAGATTAGATATAAAAAATAAGTTTTTTACTGTGAGGGTGATGAGGCACTGGCACAGGTTGCCAAAGAGGTAGTAAATGCTCCATCCCTGGCAGTGCTCAAGGCCAGGTTGAACAGGGCTTGGAGCAATCTGGTCTCGTGTGAAGCATCCGTGCCCATGGCAGGAGGGTTAGAACTACATGATCTTAAGGTCCTTTCCAACCCTGAGTGTTCTATGATTCTATGATTACAGTGGAGACAAAGACTAGCTTACCTTTATTGCTAATCCAGCTGGAGTTAGCTGCTCAATGTTTCGTTCATTCAAACAATCTTCACCCATCAAAGAAGTGAGATGCTGCAGGCATTCTGCATGTCCCTTTGATGCTGCTACATGTAACAGGTTGTTGTCACACTCATCATGGATCTTATCCAGATTATCTGCAGCTAAATGTGGCTGTTAAGAAAAGCATTATGTCAGTTACACTTAAGGTTAAAAAGTTATACAGAATATTTAAGCCTCACACCCAAGACACAAGCTAAACACAAAGATGTTTCCTCACAGGAATGTTCTTTATAACTCAAAATTAGAAGCTTTTCACCTCACTGTATGCAACCTGGCTACCATTAACAGAAGGACAGAGATGGAATTGCATTGGCTTGATTCACTTGTAGTTTCTCTTTTTCATGCAATTGTCATACAATTGTCAGTGCAAGATCTTGAGTAGCTTTAAGTCTGTGTACTAGTTTGATCAATTAAGTACTTGCAAAAGTACCTACATTTTCATAATTTCTGTCCATTTTGTGTTTGGTTTCTCTCTCTCTTCCCTCCCTCCCCCCCCCATATTACAGAACTACAGAATGCTTGAGGTTGGAAAAGATCACCAGGGGTCATCCTGACACCAGCTCAAGCAGGGTCACTGAGGTTAATGTCCAGATTACTCATGAATATTTCCAGAGAAGAAGACTCCGCAGCCTCTCTGGGCAACCTCTTCCAATACTCAGTAACAAAGTTCTTGCTTGTATTCAGGTGGAACTTCCTGTGTTTTACTTTATACCCCTGGTCTTTCATCCTATCATGTGGCACCACTGGTAAAAGTCTGACTTAGAAAGATATTGATGAGTAATTGAACAGAAAACATCTATGACTCCTAAACAAAATTCCTGATTAATTTGGCTCATCACAAAAGTGGCAGCTTGCATTAAGCACCATCTAAAATGAAGTTAAACTGCATGATGGAACACGTGGTACAAATGTGGTACGTTGTTTCTATTAAATAAATTTTTGGAATATTTATGTGAAGTACTACACAACCATGAGCTAATACAGTATTTCTTCTCAAATCTAATTTTGAGACAAAACAATAAGACAGAAAATCCAAAATGAAAACAGAAGACAGAAGATGGAGTTAAGAAGTAGCAGAAGTAAGTTCCTAGAGGTGTGCAGGCTTGCCAAAGTTAGTCTATTTCATGCAAAATTTTTGAACTGTTTGGCAATAATATGCATTTTCTTACTATCTATCTACCTATGGTGACCTCTTTTTCCTCTCTCTGTTCCTATTTCAGAGTGAATTTAATTCGCTTGTTCCTTACTGAGCAGTCTAATATTGTCTTGTGCCTCAGTATAGTCTTTGACTATCTGCTTTTGTTCTTGTTGCTACGTTAATAGCATGCCTTTGTGCTTGAGCTAGACTGGCAAACAGAGAAACTAAACAAAAATCTAACAAAACCAATTCTTATACATACACTGCGCCTCCACCAGCTGTCCTGAGTAGAAATCACATGCTCTGAATCACTGTGTTCACTTACATCTAGTTACTTTGGAAACAATCATTGATAGTGTCTGATCACTGTGTTAGAATTTACTAAAAAACTTCACATGGGTCAGAGGTCAATGAGGCTTTAGAGAAAGCTGCTGCCTGTGAATGCTGCGGCAACAAGACAGCATGAAAACTCCTGAATAATAATCAGAATACGACAGAGGCCCCTCTGTTTCCATCATCAGTCTCTAAATAACTGAGGTAAATCAGCAATAATTGTACAAAGCGACACACAAATGTTGTAAAAGACAAAACTCAATTAAGATTTAAATTTAGCATTTAAGTGAATCAACAGCTAAAACTCATGCCTTCTATAAGACTTCAGTGTACTACATACACTAGCAATCTTGGTAGTCTTTACATAAAACTAGTATCTTTGTTTTGTTACATATTTGATTTAAAGACTAAAACTTTCCATTTGGAAGCCCATATGTTCAATTATGAAGAAGCACACAGATAAAAATGACAGCATTTCAAAATATGTGCTTCATCAGCTTTGCTGGCTTAATAAACCCCATAACCTTTATTCTTCTTGTTTCATGAAAAAGATGATACTTACCAGTAAAGATATTTGGCCTTCCTTTACAATATTTAAGATGCTCTTAATTTTTTTTCCCTCTTCACTCCTCTCTTCTGGGCCCCCTACACTGTTCCAGTTCATACTCAGTTCCTCTAGCTGCTTGTTTTCTGCCACTGCTGTCTGCAGGTGGAAAGTCCTCAGATGGCAGTTTGGCATAGTCTTCTCAGTTTTGTGAGCATGAGGATCAACAAATGTCCTGCTGAGGAAGCCCTTACCCTGGGCTTCGGATTCATGGATTGAGCTACACTTCACTAAAGGCTGGGAAAGCTCTAATTCTTCTGTTAAATGCTTGTGCTGATCAAGGACAATAGGCTGTGTTTTTCTCAGCTGAGAGCCTTTCACAGGAGACAGCACATAGAACTGCATGCTGTTAGCAGGCGAGCTCTCCGTGTTCCCTGCAGAGCAGGTCTTGCTGCTAAGACCATTCACTGTTGAAGACACACCCAAAAGTTTTTTCTCAGGAACTACCTTTGTAAAAGGAACAAGTTGCTGGCTTGATTTAATATAAGGCACATCCAAAATTTCATCCATATCCAGGTCATAGTGCTCCAGCTCCCCAAGCATAACAGCAGGCTCAATGTTTTTGCTTTTAAGGCTCTCTTCTTCTCCTGGACTCTGGTCATCATTTGGAGGTGCAGATTGAGAATCACTACCTTTCTGATATTCTCCCTTCTGGTTCTTGTGGTCATCGATTTCATTGTTCTCAGAGCTTTCTGGCTGATGCTTTAATGGCGAAACCCTCTTCACTGGTCTGAATTTATTGCACACATCTGCAATTCCTGATGGTTTCTGCGCATTTCCAATAAGAGTTGAGACTCCACAGTTCCAGCTGCTGCTGGAAACTAGAGAAATTGAAGAATGCGATTTAGAAGTAATTACTACCAGACAGGTGACATAATACAGCATGCTTTAAAGATATACTTGACCAAACACTGGAAACAAGAATTAAATGATGACATGCCACATTAATATCTAAGCAGCTTTAACAGCATCTCTGTCAAAACAAATGAAGAATTTGAGACTCCAGAGAAGAAACTTTCTTCAAACATGACATACATTGTAATCAATTACAAATAAAGTCATTCTAATCATGTAATGGTTATCAATAAGAGCTTAGTGGTGTTTACAGTGGTCCTGTCCACTGGAGAATGGTCGGAAGGAATCTTATCTTTGAATATGATTACATGATGGGAAGCAGGGAAGAAAGGGGAGTGAGACTCTTCTCCACAATGCCCATTGACAAGACAAGAGACAATGGGCTCAAAGTGAAACTCACGAAAATCAATCCTGAACACAAGGAAATGCTTTTTTTACTGTGAGGCTGGTCAAACACTAGCACAAGTTATGCAGAGACATTCATACAGTTTCCATATGCGGAGATACTCAAAATCCAACTGGACAGTCCTAAGCTTAACCTGCTCCAGCTGACTCTGCTTAAGGAAGGCTTTTGAACTACATGATCTGAAGCAGTCTCTGCCAATCTAAACGATTCTGTGAGTCTCTGATCTGAAAATTAACCCTACTTATTCAGGCATGAGGCTTCCTTTTCCATTTCTCTCTATGCTGGGATTCTCTGCCAAGCTTTCCATCTCATATATATAACCTGTACACACACACACACTCCCCCCACACATACATAGCTCTGAACATTCCAGACCATTATTTCAGTGCACTGCAGAATCTGGAGTTTGACTTGCAGATAAGAATGGGAGCTCAAGACACCTGAACTCTTAATCCTACTGAACTTGAACTTAATCCTACAGAACTTGCACTCTTTCATGCAGACCAAGAACTCTGACACAGTTTGCCTTATTTTGTCTTTTTTTTTGGTTGAGGGACAGCACTAAAAGCACTAAAGCCTTTAGGCAGTTTCTATGCCCCTTTCAAGGTACACTAAGAGTTAACGCATTCTAAAAGTCAAGAATACTGTTTAAACAAAGGAGATTTATTACATGTGCTAACTGCATATCAGTGGGATCTAATTTGTGGTCAAAACACACAATTTGCCATGAACACCTTCCTAAGGAAACAGATATATACACTTTCAGTGCAACACTAATGTCTGAAGTAAAGGATTAGTATGGCTTAGTAGTTACAGATGTCTGAAAATTACCTTAATGCTTTTGGAAGCACTTAAGAATATATTTCCGAAGAAGAAATAAAAATAATAATAATCAAAAGGCATGTAACTTAGTGGGCCAATACAAAGAACACACTGTACTGACTTATTTATGTATTGTATAAGATTCTAGGTTCAAAGGCCTACACTTTTATGTTGGTTTTATTTACATGTGAAATTTTTTCCAAGTGATACAGGGAAATGGATACCATATGTTTCCCAGCTGTTTTGCTCTGACAGGAACTATTAAGCACTCAGTATGGAAATGAATTCTGTCTGAGTTTTATGAAAACACTGCTTTCAACACAGGGGTCTAGACAGAGGAAAAGGCATCAACATTTTGTTTGTTGTCACTTTATTTAGGCTTACATTTATTTTGTTGCTTGGCTTTCTTCACTTTCTAACCTTAATAACACATATTTACATAAACCACTGATGACAAAATTGTAAAATTGGATACTGTGAAGAAGGAATGGCGATTGTTACAAATCTGTCTTGGATCATTGTGAAGTCATGTATTTCTCTTTTCTTTCATTACAGTTAGAGCACAGTAAGGTACTTCCACATTTTTCACTGGTTTTGTTCCCAACGCCCCTTTACAAACATTGTTTTTCCAGAAAACAAACTGGAATACAGAGAATGGTTAGCAATATTTTTACTGACTTAAGAGAAGTATTCTTTACTTAACTGGGATGACGAATTTACACTGCATCTAATAAATTATTAGAATATGGTATTTAACCACAACAGTAGGGAAGAAAGCAAGTTAGACTGGTAGACACAATCCTTCTTTGTGCTGTTTTCTACCTGGTTGCTGTATAGGCTGCATCAGTGATTAAGCAGTAACAACATGGTTTCTGCCTACAGAGCACTGAAATCATAGGCCAGAGTGGGTAAAGGCATGGCTTGAATCTCTTCTACTCTCTTTTCAGATGCTTGTTACCTGAAGAAGCAAATCAAGCGCTGCCTATGCAGCAAAGCACCAGCACAGCAGCAGTCATGTGAGCATTCTTAAGCAGCTGCTCCACAGGAAAAACCTCTTGCTCATCTCTCCATACTTATGAACTTGGGCAGAGGCCATTAAACATCTGGGTCAAACAAGTGCTGTTTGATTCTTTTATAAACAACAGCAAAGGATTGTCTGAGTTTAAGGAAGGTAACTAGAATGCAGAGCAGCTATCCTGATTTCAGAGTCTGACAAATAATTCTGGTATAATCTTGGATAAGCTGCATCTTTTCTGTGCACCGGTATCTCAAATGTAAAAAAGTTATGACAATGTTTTTTTCCAACTAGGGTGTCAAAATTATGTGTTTAACTTTTATTCATTAATATGGAGATTTGGACAGTGTCATTGAAGTAAAATGAGAGAGGAACATAAAACGAGACTTTGGTTGTGCTGCCTGGTAGACCAGAGATGCTAAACCATTTCCTTTGAACAAAAGAAAATAGTACCTGATGAAAACCTGTAAGTGTCAAAATTGAAAAGGTTGTTCTTCACCATAAATTGTGCTCTATGCTCTCCTTGAAGATGAGAAAGGCAAAATGTGAATAAAGACGCCTGAACGATTGTTTTTAGTTTTTGTATTTATTTATTTACAGGTGTCTCCTAAAACTACTGGGGGTTAATAATAAGAAAAGGGCAAAATTAGGGAGTAACTTCTCTGAAATTTATGCACTTCATTAGATTTTATTTTAGGAATCCATATTTACCTTGAAGTTTCTAAAAAAACCAAAATCCTTATAACCTGTTTCCAATTGGAAGCATCTGTTGACTTCACAGCATTTTTCAACATCACCTCTGTATCTAGGGCAGAGGTAGGAAAGAGAGGGAATTGTATCTCTTACATAAGCACCTGTAGAATTATAGGGTAACTATATGAGTTTTGTCCAACCACAAGACTACCTCATGCATGGATGAAACTTTACCCTTGTGACAGGCAGTTTCTGTGATACGTAAAATCTAATATCAGAATAGCTTTAAATTGTCCTGAGTATAATGAAAATAACAAAGAACTCAGCTTTTACTTTAGATTTATAAGGAAACTATCAATGAAATTCATTGCTGGTGTGCATACAAGAGCCTGTCTCCCTGGCATATGGGTACAGTAACATTCTTTAAATGATGATGTTTTCATGAAGTTTACAGCACTGGTAACACAAATAGGAGGTGGCAAAAGGCTGCATATCACACATCACTATCATTACAAAATGAACTGAACATGCAGTATGCTCAGTTCATTTTGTAATGATAGTGATGTGTGATATGCAGCCTTTTTCACTCTGCAGTAGAGCGGTACTTGTAGATGTTGCTATTCCAGATCTTCATGAACCCAGAATGGCTCACGTCCAAAGAGCACTGACTGCCTGAGGAAATTGTCAAACTCGTAACAGTGTATTTCTGTTGCCATCACTACAGGCTCATTTAGGTTTATGCTTTGACCAGTGTTCTGTAATGACAAATGTTGCTGTTGAACAGCTGGGACATACAACAGGCAGTGGTGCTAGCAAGCAGGAAACTGGATGCAAAGATCTGAGTCATTGGCAGATCACCTAGCAGATATGCCCATGTTGCTCTACTAGATCACTTTACACCCTACACACCAGTTTAACAGGAATGAAAAAGAGCATCAATTCACTCCTGTTCTTTCATAGGGGACAACCAGTGATCCCCATTACTATGCTACATCCCTCAATGAAACTCTTGAGCCTTTTCAGCTTGCTGTCTCTGTTCATTCTCATGATGGTCCAGAGCCGTATCTTATAGTAAACTGCACTGAAACACTGTCCAGGAGAAAAACTGTATGACTTCCTTTTATACAAACATTCATCAGTCATCAGTGACATTAACACTTCCACCCAATGGCCTGACCTGCATCCAGGCTGTGCTATCTCTAAATTCTCTGCTCTTCAAACTTTTTTTCATACTTGTGCAACCAATAACCACGGTAAAACTGAATAATGGAGAACACTGCACTACATGAGCTCTTGTATGCCCAGAGACTATGGTAAGACTACCTGCTGATTTGATGAGTTCATCATGCCTAATAGATCTTTCAATAGTCCGTGAACTTCTGTGGTTGAATCACATTTATATGGATGAGAGATGAGTAGGAGCAGCCAACAAGGCTTTAATAGAGGAAAATCATGCCTGACTAATCTTAGTGACCTTCTATGTTAGAGCAACTGCATTAGTGGACAAGAAAAGAGCTACTGATGTAAACTATCAGCTTCTGTAAGGCATTTGACACAGTCCCCAACAATATTCTTACTCTTGATGTGAAGAGATAGGTTTGATGGATGGCCACGCTCAAAACAGTTGCAGTCAACATCTCAATGTCCAAATGGAGATTAATAACAAGTGGTGTTCCTCACTTGTTGTGTCAGGGGTTCTGTCAGGACTGGTACTGCTCAATGACTTTATTAATGACATTGACAGCATGACTGAGTGCATCCTAAGCAAATTTGCAGAAGACCCTAAGTTGAGTGGTGCAGCTGGTCTGCTTGAGGGAAAGTATCCATAGGGACCCTGTGCAGGCTTGAGGACTGGGCCCATGTGAACCTTACGAAGTTCAACAAAGCCAAGTGCAAGGTCTTGTACCGTTACAATGAGGGTGATGTGACAATGGAAAACATTGCTCAGAGAAGCTGTACCTGTCCCATCCCTGGCCAGTGGTCAAGATGAGGCTGGATGGGGCTTGAAGCAATGTGGTCTAGTGAAAGATGTCCTTGCCCATAGAAGGGGGGTTGAACTAGATGATCTTTGAAGGTCCGTTTCAATGCAAACCATTCTAGGCTTCTACGGTTATATAAATGAGAATAAACTCTGCTAGGTTGACTCCATTGCTGCAAAGGCCAAATGCATTCAAATGATTTTCTTTTTACCTAAAACTCTTCCTCTTTGCTTTAAAAATTCACTTGTGGAGTTCTCTTCACTTTCTATCATCATCATTAAGGAAGCTTGCAATTTTCCTTGACAAGTACTTATCCCTATGAAATATTTTTTAAATGCAGTATTTGACTGTATTGCTCATGTACTAGATAATTATTTAGGGGCCTGCAGTAAGTATGTGCAAAGTTTCACATTCAGAGTGTTACTGTCCTGTGAAAGAAATGCTTGAGCTTCTTCAGTGTGATATGACTTCAGCACAGACTCTTGAGCCAATTAAGACTTGTACTCATTCTAGGTCCATTTAGAGCACGGTGATTCTGACTTTGTGTATGGACACTGAGCTGTTGTCTACAGTAGGGAAACTTTTAGATAATTCATCACAGCTATTAATGTAAATTTATCCCCAGCAGCAATACTGGGGCTTCAAGCGACAGAGGAAGGGATGTGCCTTTCATATAAAAGCATAATCAAAACCAGTTCTGAATATCTATTTACTATTTTATTAATATCACTGAAATAATATTTAACAATTTTAACTGAAGGTGGCACTGTTTTACAGTTTTAATATATGAATAACTTCCAGAAATACATTTTAGGTTCTTCAATGTAAGCTCTGTCGCATGAGAACTAAAGAACCCTGCACAGGTAAGAACAGAGAAGGTTTAATCCCATTTACGCAGAATTAGAAGCTACTCTAAAGAAGAAAGAAAGGATAAATAAGGTAAATAATAATTCATCTTTTTAAGTAACAATGCACTTTCCGGGAAACTCAAACATTAATACAAGCCTCAGTGAACTAATAGTATTTTTTTTACCTAGGGTTGAGGAAGAACAATACAAAAGCTGTCGTTTCTAAGGCAGAGAATATAGAAGAGGAAAAGTAAATATCAAAATAAATAATTTGTGTGTCCCATTGTCCAGACTGATCTAATGATGTGAAAGGGAAGTACTAAGTAAAGTTCTACTGAAAAATCAGAAGAGGTCATTCTGGCACAATATGTGCAAAACAGGAAGAGGCAGGATGTGAAAACAAGGTAGAAGAGGAGCTTATATACAAGCATCACAAGTTTCAGACATATTTACCTGTGAGGTATTTGGAGCATGACAGTGAAATTTATGCCATTTAACATTGCCTCTAGACCTAATTTTACCTTAATTTTTCTTATAGCTAAAAAAACTACAAAGAGATTTAGACAGAAAGTGTGTTTAATTTCATATTCACTGATTTATTACTTTTTCTCAAATAGGAAACAAAACTGAATAATTTTGTGAATGACAGCTATTTTGGGAATGAATAGAGTGCAGAAGAATAACTGCTGGAGATTAAAAATGAACTTCCTTTTCTCAACCTGCGAATAAAGATTTAGAATAGGATGTTGTCGTCATTTGAGACATGCATTTAACGACAACCAAAAGTCATCACAGCTGACAGAATATACTTCAACAGCTATATGGCTCAGTGAAGCTTGTTGAACACAGGTGTCTTCATGGGGCCTTACAAAATCTGCCCAGAAAGAAAGCAACCAATTTCATGCTTAATAACAAAAGCATAAAGGACTGATTTCTGTTTCAGTTCATCATTGTACATTAGTTAATGCTGGAAATTAATGGACAGGCTGGCTAACCCTTCATTTCAGAAAAATTACTTAGATCCATTTTTAAACTACACTCTAATCTTCTATCTTTGAAGATGAACAATGCCCACCTTAGTGGTTAGTACGCTAGCTAAGAAGATAACTCTTTTGAAGCATAATGGTAGAGAAAGTAACTACCCTTAATCACGCTGTATTGTGCCCTGTAGCTTTTCTCCAGTTTCATGTATCTTTTACCTTGTCATCTGGGGGTACTTGGGCTCCAAAGGTCCCTTAGAATTTTCCTGAGTCAGAATTCCCTAAATCCAAGGAAGAACGCAAAGGAGTCAGGACTGAGACTGTAATGACTGCATGACTTCCATACACATCTTGCAAAAGGGTGATGAAGGAACCACATGACCTTCCCACTGGCCAGTGCTGTCCAATATAGGGAAGTGACAGTGTGAATGTAGGCAGGAAAACCTAAAAATGCGCCATCCCTGGCAGCATTCAAGGCCAGGCTGGATGGAGTCTTAAGCGACATGGTCTAGTGTGAGGTGTCCCTGTCCACGGCAGGGGGGTTGAAACTAGATGATCGTAAGGCTCTTTCCAACCCTATTCTATAATTCTATGATTCTGTGAATATGGAGGGAAGGGTGGTGGAGGACATGGGGAAGACTGCAGTAGAATGAGACATGAAATGTAGAATGAGACGAAGGACTGTAGTGATGGTAGGATTAAAACTTAGGCAGGGGAAGTTTAGATTAGATATAAGTAAGACGTTCTTTACTGTGAGGGTGGTGAAGCACTGGTACAGGTTTCCCAAAGAAGTGGTAAATGCTCCATCCCTGGTGGTGTTGAAGGCTGGGTTGGACAGAGCCTTGGGTGACGTGGTTTAGTGTGAGGTGTCCATGGCAGGGGGGCTGGAACTAGGTGATATTAAGGTCCTTTCCAACCCTAACTATTCTATGATTCTGATTCTAAATTGAGAGGGGTGAATCAGGGGTCCTCTCGCTTTCTGCTTCTTCCTTGAATCCGCCTGCAGCAGGTAATACTGCATGTGCTATCACTGCTGTGCCACAAGTAGGCAGTAACATGGCAAACAGGTATGTTAAAGGAACTTTGCTTCTTTTTATTGCCAAGGGCAGTGGCACACAGTTGTGATGACCTGGCCTTTAATGACTGTGGTCGAAGAAGTTGCTCCCAGAAGCTTTTGACTTAGTTACACACCTTGGCATTTACAACTCTCTGAAAGGAAACAGAGAAATAAAAGTTCCCAAAGTATATCACAGTTCTTAAAGCTTTCTACCATCCCATAAATTCCAGGTCTTGCATTTCTGTTATAAAAGCATTTGATGCAACAACATTAATGGAAGGTCAATTAAAACATCAGAAAACACAATAAACTTTTCATAGCTCAACAAAAATGCTCCTCTCACCAATTGATTTCCGCTCCATCAAAAAGAGAAAAACAAAAGCGGATTAATCTGATTTACAGAGTGAAAACCAACACTAAATGCACTTTTTATCAGGGAGGGGGGCGATCTCCAGCTGGTTCTCATATATATGCCATGATTCTTCATTTAGTTTACACTATTAAACTAAAAAACTCAGCTTTAATCTTAACTATTACAGTGTGCCTTAGAGTAGATTCTATCATGTAGCATCCTTGATACAGTTTCAGACTCTGGCAAAACATCATCCCTCAAACTGGTCATGGCCATATGGGTAGTAAATGTATCCAACATTTTTTCATTGGCGCCTACATTATTACATCTTGTCACCAATGGTTTCTCGGGTTTTCAAGTAAATTGTTGCATATACGGTGGTTTGGAGCTGCTGAGATGAAGCCCTACATTTATCTGTATACAGTCAAATCCTTTTTTGGAACTTTTTTTCCTTCTAATGAACTAACATCTGCTGGGGGGGGGGGTGGGGGGGTGGACTAAAAAAAAAATAAAAGTCATGTTTCCAGAAAGCTGTACAAAAATGAGAGAAAACAAAACAAGAGAACACTGCCAAGAAGCTATTGTTGCCAAGTTGTACATGATACAAAGCAGCCTAGAAAACTACGTGTGGACAGAAGTGGGCATCATACCTGATCTGTCTTCATTTTGTGAATCACACCTTCTACACAATTCTGGAATGGTCTTGAGAGAAGTTACGGAATACTGTAAAAAAAGGGCAAAAATGGATATGAAGTAATTAATTTAAAAAGATAAAAACTAATGTTGTGCTCACAGCTTACACCTACCAACCCAAGGGTACTTCCAACAGACTGATGGTCTTCACAGGCTGTGCAAGAAAAGTAGATGACATCTGTTTTTGAGACCCACCTTGAGGGGTGTCAAACAGACTCACAAAGCTACAGCAAACTGTCTCCCCACCTCAATTTTCTCCTTCCTGTAGATCACCATTATTCAAATCACAAACACATTTTACATCTCCAAACTTTCCATGGGATGCAAGATACCTCAAATCTAGGCTTCACAGTAAATGTCAAGCTTTCCCAAATCAATATGTAGAAATAATGCAGGATATTTGTACTTGTAGAGTATCATATTTCGACAATATTTTGTATTTGTAGAGATTTGATTTCAGAGGTGATCTGAAATACATACACAGATGACAGGCTCATTTCTCTAACCTAGGCTTTATTAAAACACACTTGCATTATTACTTTGATGTGACAGGATATGCCTGATATTAATCAGTATATTATTCTCTGAATTCATCATTAAAAAGCAAAAAAAAAAAGGGGATGACATATGTATCTTACTAAGGAGAAATCTTCTTCTTATAAATTTGTGGAATATTCTTGGTAAGACACATGATCCAGTGTTATAAAGCTATGCATGCTGACATACACAAATTAAGTTACTTAATAGCAAGCCTGCCTTAATCAAATGCTTAAATGTTACAGGAATTTTCACTTAAACAAATGAAAATCATTATGCCTGTGAAAGATCAATGGCTTAGCTCATATTCACAAAACCCTATTAAAACCAGTATTTTGGAAACTAAAACACAAAACTGCATTTACAGTTAGCACAACTGAAAATTTTTAAGGAATATATAAACACCATATGTTTTCAAAGAAAGATATTTTTAGCTGGTGTGCTATTGATCAACAAAGCAAAACAACTACGTATAAAACCACATAAGCTTTCCATACAAAAAATAAATGGTCATACATTTTCATGCTTTTTGCTGACAGCTCGTCATTCTGAGTTTGATGTGCTTCTAATCACAATTGGCAATCTACTTCAAAACAAGCTGAAGTTAACCTCCTGTGACCAACTGCAGAAGTAATTTACTTCTCCAGCGCAAGTTTAAGACTGTTGCTCAATCAATTGTAGTTACTTTATTAAGCCTCAAAAACCTCCCATGCCTTACTTTTTCCCTTCTTGGCCTGCTTCAGGGGTGTATTGAGAAAGCTTAACTGCAACAAGAATCTTTCATAAGTATTCCCAGGATCAATACTAAACTTATTAATTAAAATGGGTAGCGGCATGGCACATATCTATCCACTGATTCCAATCTCATTAAATAAGAGGTAGTCGAATAAGGCCATGGCTGCAGGATGTGACAGCCTAAAGCTACAAAGAGCACGAGAACAAAGGCAGTGAGAAAAATGCTACTAAATACAAATTAATATGAGTTAAATGTACACATGCACAAACACCATGTGCTGTGCTTCACTTCGGTTACTGTTTAATAATGGTTGAGTTTTAAGCTATATATCTTGTTATTTCAGCACAAAGACTCACAAGGCAATGTTGAGCTAGTCTAGTAAGATTCTTAAGAGAATCCAAGGAACATGTCTCCAAGGAGTATGGTAGCTTCATAAGACCAGCTGGTGCAGTTTAAACTATTACACAGTTTGTAATTCAATTAGAATGAGGCCTTTTGTATTCCATTGCTATGTGTTTTGTCAGGCAACCTCAAAAACAGAGAGCCATTTTTCTTTTTGTCTTTTTTGCTGTTCTTTCCTGGAAGAACAGATTTTCTTTCTGTTTCAACACTGCACTAAAATGTATCCAGTTACCACCTCCGACCACCAAAAATCTATTAAATGTTCTAAGTTTCATTATGAATTTTAATCATATTGGTTTGATTTCATTAACAGATTTCCTCCCACTCACCTCTGTCCTTCCGTGCATTTACATTTCTACCATCTGTATTTTGTGGTCAAGATGTGGAGAACTGGCTTTTGATCCAGAAAGCAACTAAAATTGCTCTTTAAAGTGGACTTCTCCCAGTCATAAGCACAATCCATTGCCAGCTCTTCCCTCTAGAACTACTTTCATATACTTATCTCCAGCTCTGATAATTAGTAATATTTGATAGCTTTTCTTCAACAAAAAATGTCACGGTTATCAGACGTATTGCAGAGGGACTGCAAAGGGATTGAGACCGCAACCCTTCCCTGGAACAGAATTTTAGACTTAATGCTTATTCAGTGGCATTTAAAATAGATTATTTCTACTCTTCATTTATTAATTTTGAACTGCTCTAAATACAAAATTAAATACCATTTCTTACATTTCACCATTAGAAAAACCAAGTCAACCAGACCCAAGGGCCATGCCCAAAGGTGTGACAATAGGAGAGCTAGGCACATGAGGTTGCTTCCTTAGTCAATGCTTACTGTGATCTTTTGTATTTAATCAAGTGTGTTGTGGTTGATGGTTAAATTCAGTAACAAAATTAAAAGCTTCTTCCCTGGCTTCTTCCCAGGATAATGAATGTTCAAGGTTTGGGTTCTTTTTCTATGTCCAACCTGAAATAGTGAATTTCAGTAAACCCCTTAAGATCCTTTAAGATGGAAGAGCAGGATCAACAGCAAGCAAGAGATAAGAAACAGTAATAAGCATTCTATGCAAATGCAAGATATTCCCAATTTTCTTCAACTGACACTGCTAATTTAGGGAAGAGATTCAGAGCAGCCCTGTGGAGAAGGACTTGGGGGTGTTCGTCAATGAGAAAATTAACATGAGCTGGCAGTGTGTGTTCACAGCCCAGAAAGCCAACCATATCCTGGGATGCATCAAAAGGAGTGTGACCTGCAGGTCGAAGGAGGTGATCCTGCCCCTCTACTCTGCTCTTGTGAGACCTCACCTGGAGTACTGTTTGCAGTTCTGGTGTCCTCAATATAAAAAGGATATGGAACTCTTGGAACAAGTCCAGAGGAGGGCCACGAGGATGATCAGGGGACTGGAGCACCTCCTGTATGAAGATAGGCTGAGAAAGTTGGGGCTGTTCAGCCTGGAGAAGAGAAGGCTGCATGGAGACCTCATAGCAGTCTCCCAGTATCTGAAGGGGGGCTAAAAGGATGCTGGGGAGGGACTGTTCATTAGGGACTGTAGTGATAGGACAAGGGGTAATGGGTTAAAACTTAAACAGGGGAAGTTTAGATTGGATATAAGGAGGAAATTCTTTACTGTGAGGGTGGTGAAGCACTGGAATAGGTTGCCCAGGGAGGCTGCGAATGCTTCATCCCTGGCAGTGCTCAAGGCCAGGTTGGACAGAGCCTTGGGTGACATGGTTTAGTGTGAGGTGTCCCTGCCCATGGCAGTGCGATTGCAACTAGATGATCTGAAGGTCCTTTCCAACCCTAAGTATTAAATGATTCTATGAAACTGAATTTTTTTTTTTGCAAATTTTTTTTTGTAAAAAAGAAATTCTATGATTCTATGAAAATGGAACCTCCCTTGTACAAAACACTTGTTCACTATGTACAACTGCACTACATTATCTGAATTAATGCAAATGTTAACCTTTTCAATTTCACATGGTTCTAAAATTTTAATGCAATGAATTTTAAAAAATACACATACAAAAAAAACCCTTTAATCTCTAGAAAAGCTGTTTTGTGCTGTGCCACTTAAATGCCATTTGCAGATTCACCTGTGTCTGAGAAGTATCAGAAAGAAGGAATACTGCATCATGAATAGTAGCATAATAATGTATACACAAAATAGTTTAAAGATGCAAATAAAAAAGCAAAAGTTATTTCTTAGTTTTCCATTATGGAGAATACCTTTAATGTCTCCTGAAAAGGAGATATTAGGGAAAAAAAGGGGGGGGGCGACAAAGTTGGACACAGAATGTAATTCTTAGACCACCTCATCAGAACCATGACAACCCCAAAACACTAAGGACCATATGCTGGTCCAACTGAAGAAAGTATCAAAACTCAGCAATTTCACCTCCACTGCATCAAGACAACAGTGACTGCTTTTATATGCACAGCTCTTTGTTTTTGTGTAGATGGAGACAACAGACATCTCCTTCATTACAGCTAATTTGTTTCCAAGTATTGTTATTACTGTAAGCCATTTAAATCCCATTTCAATTTATTTGCTATAGTGGAAAAGGGTTTCATTAATATTTAAATCCCATTAAATTAATACCTTTATATTACATTTGATGATTTAATAATTTATAACTGTGCAACACCACCTTTTTCCCTAGACATTTATTTGGGAATAGCAAGCTACACTGAGAACGAGTAAAGCAACAATACTTGGCGTGAGGTAGTACTTTTCCTGATACTAGTGTCAATTTAAGTGGCTCCAGAGCAAAAAAGTGGAGGAAAGAGATTAGGCTGGACCAGTCCATGTGAGAAATACCTCCACAAAATAAACTTCTCACTTAATGGCTGTGATCAGCATCTTTGGATCAACACCAAACAGCTTATAATTAACTAGCACCAGGAGCTCTGATTATGACCAGGGCATTTGGCATTATTTCAGTAAATGAAGAAATAAAATAGTTTAAATTTGCACAATCTGCCAGTGCAATAGAATTTTAATTAAAGGATTAGGAAACCTTCAGGTAACCTTAACAATAGTGTGCAAATTATAGGCAGGAATAAATTTAAGGGAAAAAGCAGGAAGTTTTAAACTTTTAATAGTGTATCTACCATTTAATGCAACTTACATGTTGCAATTTTTTTCTTCCTTTCTGTGAGTAGTTATTCGTGAGGAAATAAATGAAAATATACAGCGTGGTTGCTTAATGTCATTGCTTCATTGCAGACAGAATATTATTTTTGTTTAATGTAAACAGGAGTCCCAGAAACCTATTCTGCTGTGTCAACCACAGTCAAATATACTGTGGATATTGGAATAGTACCATCTTAATTTCCAAATAAGCATCTCATTTGCATTTCAGAGCCCTGAGGGAATTGGTAGGGGTGGCTGCTGAACCATTCTCAATCATACATTGAAAAGTCATGGCAGTGAGGTCAAGTCTCCAGTGGCTGGAGAAAAGTGAGTATCACATCAATTTTTAACAAGAGTAAAGAGGAGGACCTGGAAACTACAAACCAGTCATCCTCACCTCAGTGCCCAGTAAGACCATAACAAATGATTAGAGACAGCCAACATGGCTTCACAAATGGCTAATAGTTCCTGACAAATCTTGTTATCTTCTGTGATGGAGTGACAACAGGTACAGATGTCATCTACCTCAACTTCTGTAAGGCCTTTCACATGGCTCTATACAACATCCTTGCCTCTAATTTGGAGAGGTATGGGATTGACGGATGGATGGTTAGAGGGATAAGAAATTGGCTATGCCCAATGAGCTACAGTCAACAGTAATGGGTGGTGTCCATTTAGGATGCATACTGCAACCGATACTATTTAATATCTTGATCAATGACACAGTGGGATTGAATCCACCCTCAGAAAGTCTCATGTAACACAAAGATGGGTGGTGCAGTTGATTAGCTTCAGGGAAGAGATACCATCCAGAGGGACATTAACAGGCTTGAGAAGCAGGCCCATGCAAATTTCACGATGTTCAACAAGGTCAAGATTCTGCTCCTGAGTCAGTGCAATCCCCAGGATCAGTACAGAGCAGGGGATGAAGGGATAGAGAGCAGAAAAGAGAACCTGAGGATACTGGTGGATAAAAATTTGGACATAAACCAGCAATGTGCACCTGGAGACCAGAAGGTCAACTGTACTTGGGCTACACAGCATTCTCTCCCTTGACTCTGCTCTCGTGAGACCCAACCTGGAGTATAGCACCCAGCTCTGGGGCCCCCAGTACAAGGAAGACACAGACTTGTTGGAGCAGGTCAAGAGGAGGGCCATGAAAATGGTCAAAAGGATGGAACACCGCTCTGCATCTATAATACTGGAGAAATGTACAGTTTCATTTTCTAATGCACAAATACATTAGACATTTGAAACAAAAAGAAGAAAGTAACACGCCCATTTACATGTTTATTTTCCTTTTCAAACAATTTCCTGTCTATTTTTTATGTCATTTTGGTCATTTTGGCCGGAATGGTCTACAAGGGTCTGGACTATAAAAAACGGCTTTCTAATTCAGGTACATTTATAAGTGCATCTTTTTAATAGCCTTCTTGCTGCCATTGTTTTTAGTCAATACTGTTCTGTGCTGGATTAGAACCAGACGGCTAACAGGAACAATATAAATTGCTAACACTGATGCTATGCAGCTGCTCCTTCCACAGCAGGCTAATGATAAAATGTGAAGGTCAGGTATCTCTAAATTGTAGACAGTGAGATATGAGTAGAGCACTATCACAACCATGAATTCTCTTGTTAATCTGGATTTTTGCAACAAATCCTTTGTTCCCCTACCTGCTAAAACAAGGAGTAAAATTGCTACCTCTATAATTTGTGCTGTTTTTTCATTCAAGGTCCAGTGTCCAGTGAAAGAACAGCCTATTAAAGCAGGCAGCCTGAGCTGTTCAGCAGAAAAATGAGTAACCTAACCCACCAGTATGCAGCAACAGCCACAATGGGAGAGACATGGAGAGGTTACATCTATTATGTTTTACAGTTTTACAAAACTGAGTATAGAAACAGATAGCAGGACATGATCTAGCATATAGGTGCAATAAAAAGAAAGTTGCCCAGCACAAAGTATTCAGTTCAGATTGGCTCATTTTCTTGTAATATTTTGGACACTTGCCATACTCCTTTTTAATAAAAATTCAACATTACAATACGTTAAAAAAACCCAAATCCTCTCCAAAAGGAATCTGTCTGTGAATAAAGCATCTGGAATGTTTTAAAATGAATCAAGAGTCCCAAATGTTAAAGGAAAACCAGGCCCTTAATTTAACTTCTTTTTTTTTAAAGAAAATACAAAATTATGAAAACGTGGAAGGAAGTGATGGAACACTTTCTTTGATCTGAAAACTGACTTAATAAATTATCCTCTACTGGATTTAAGTTATGTATTCAAGTCCATTGTTAAATTGACATTAAAAGTATTAACTCTATTCTGCAAAAAGGAGAAACGCTAGCAGTAGTACCATTATCATAATAGAACATACTGTATCAGTGCTTCCTACAAGAACCACTAACAATGAAGTTGAACAGCATTTTTGCTTGCAGTTACAGCTGCAGTTGTTTTAATTGTGACACTAAGGATCAGTGTTGTCTACGAATCCCTGGAAGTCTTTCTGCCTCTTTCTTTACCGTATCACAGGTACATATCACACCTTTTGATAAAACTTTGTTGTATTTGAAGATGGCTAGTGGAGGAAAGGGCAGAGCAACAACTGATTTGGAAAAGGAGCAATTCAGAAGTGAGAGAGACAGGAGGTTTTTTTGCAAGTTAAATACATTCAGTAAAAAACAAGGTGAACATCATTTTGGTGTTTAAGGCTAGCATCAGAGTGCATATAACTCATATGAGACAGCAGAGTAGACAAGCAACCCAGAAATATAACTCTCTTATTAATTTGATTTACAAGCAATTTTTAGTACCTGGAGGACAGGAATCAAGATTTCCTTTAAAAACCACATTATTTTATTCTAAATTTAACTTATTTAAGCATTGTTATATGAGAAGTAAAAAGGAATATGACTTCCAATAATAGTGTAGTTTGTTATATCAGGATTGAGATATCTAAGAATATCTCAACTTGAACAAATAAAACAAGACTTGTACTTACCGATATATCATCACTAAAATCTATTTCATCCAAATCAAGGTATTCAGGGGCTTCCATTATTCTTCTATGGACATTTTGGGTGAGTCAGCATAGTAGTAAAGACCTAATTAAGAAAAAGAGAGATTGATTGTCTACTGAAGAGGCAAAAATCACACAGAAATGGTTTAATATAGTTGCCAAATTACTGAAAACGTTTAACTTGTATAGTCGAGTCTTTCATAATTTAATACTAAAAGCTAAATGCAATTTGCCATCTCTACTCTGCATACCATGAAGAAGCCTTTTTAAAATTTAAGGGAGAATAATACTTGAATTGGCAGCCAAAAACCACTTGATTCAGCATCACTCAGTTCAGTATTGGTGTAAAGACCTAAGCTGTTGAGCATTCTCATAAACCCTGCAATCATAGCTACGTTAATAATGTATCTTCCTTAAGGATGCTATTATTTTACTGGTCTGAACGCAGCAACTTCTGTTACTATAGTTCTCCTCTGCCCAAGAAAGTAAGGAGGAATCATGCTGTGCACAGAAAACAAAATCCTATCACACCTTATCTCCACTTACAAACAATTAGCACATAATGCAGTCCATGTTTTACATATGGGAGATTTATCACTCCTCAGCCTGCAAGTGCACTTCTCGCAGAAAAGTAACCAAGGCAAACACATAATTACATCAATGTGAACTTATTATCTGTGGCCTTAACCACTTCCTTACATGAAGGCAGAAAGAAGAAAAAACTCCTTTGCAAAGCAAGAAATTTGGCTGGAAAGGCAAATGCAATTCTGAATAAACTGGAGCTTAAACAATCAAAAGACCAAAGACAATAAAACCCTCATTACTTTCTTAATCCTAAGTAGAATGAAGGTGTGCATTATCACTGCAGACAAGTACAACAGAACTGCACAAGGAAGCTATTTTAAAGGAAGCTGAGAAATAAAATCACTGCATTTTCAAATAATGTGAGGCACTGCATAAGTGTCAAGTATTATTACGAAAGCAAATTAAAACCTTCTAGTACTTTTACATAACAAAAGGAAACGCCTGAAGAAAAAAATAATAATAATACAAGCTCAGTTTATTCATTTGACAACTGTCAAGAAACATATGCATGAATAATGAAGTCAGCTGTGTAGGTCTAAATAAAAACACTGTGTGAAACATTCATATGCAGTTAAGAATGTCCTAGGAAAAGGGAAGAAAATGCTTTTCAGCAGGTTCTACTGGTAAACAAAACCTCAGTTAATGTCCTTCATAACACCGCACCCACAGAGAAAGATGATCTTAAGACACAGAAAAGTTATTAGAAGAAGAACCAAGAGGCAAACTTACAGTTTTAAGCTGAAAGAGCAGGAAAAAGCAAATTCTTATTTCTTCTTATTTCTCAGAAAGTTACTGAAATTAAAGTATTATTCAGCATCATTTTCTTTCTAAATGAATATGCTCCTTTTGGCTAGGATAGATTTAATTTTCTTCATCGTAGCTTGTACGGGGCTATATTTTAGATCTGTGCTGGAAATACTGTTGATAACACCAGGACCTTTTCATTACTGATGAGCAGTGCTTACACACTGCCTCTCAGCATACCCCACCAGTGAGGAGGCTGCAGATGCACAAGCTGGGAGGGGACACCTGCAGGACAGCTGACACCAACTGACCCAGTGGATATCCCACACTTTATGGTGCCATGAGCAGTATATGAAGCTAGGGGAAGAAGAAGGAAGGGGGGATATTCAGAATGATGGTGTTTACCTTCCCAAGTCACCATTACACCTGATGGAGAGCTGCTGTCCTGGAGATGGCTGAACACCTGCCTGCCCATATGAAGTGCCGAATGAATTCTTGGTTTTGCTTTGATTATGTGCATGGCTTTTGCTTCACTTACTGACCCACAGGTTTTCTCACTTGTGCCTTTTCAATTCTCTCCCCCATTCCACTGAGGGGAAGTCAACAAGCAGGTCTAAGGGGCTTAGTTGCTGTATGGGCTTAAACAATGACAATGAGAAAGGAAAAAAGGTGGGGGGTTGGGGGAGGGAAGCGAAGAAAGGGAGGATGGAAAAGGGGGAAAGCATGTATTTTCTTTAATGCATTAGGGTATTTGTGTTCCTTGCAAAAAGAGAAGGAACTCGTGGGGAGGAGAAACTGGGGAGAAAGGCAGCATCTACGAACCACCTCAACTACCTGTTACTGGCTCTTATTGAGACTGTTAGACTTGAGTGAAGCAGTGAGAAATGAGATGGATAGAAGAAGGTAAAAACAGTATAAAGCCCTCAGTCAGCTCAATATGAGGAAATAGAAGTGGCTAGAATGTGAAACTAGTCAGAAGCACAATTCCCAAATGCTAAGTTTATTCTTAAAGAGAGACACTAAAATCAGTCAAAATCCCTGTAATGAGAGGAATTAGCTGTTGTGAAAAGGCATCACATATTCAAGTCTACAGGTTCTTTTCCACATTAAAGATTTTGCTTTCTTAACAGAAACACAGAATTTCAGCATTTTTTAAGGTTTATACTTTAACATGTTGCATCTGGGTGACATTAAAGCTTACTTGCAGCAAAGTGCACTGCCACTTTATTGGGTTTGCATAGTAACTTTTTGGTAACAGGGTGTTACAGGTGTGGTTTCTGTGAAAACACAGCAGAAGCTTCCCCTGTGTCAATCCCAACTGACTCCAAGAGCGTCCCAGTACTGACCAAAGCTGAACCCACCAGTGACAGTGGTAGTGCTGCTGGGATAACATGGTATCCCAGAAGAAGGGGAAAAAACCCTGCTGCACAACAGCAGCTGGGAGAGAAGAGTGAGAATATGTGAGAGCAACAGCCCTGCAGACAGCAGGCAGGGATGATGTTCCAGGCAATGGAGCAGAGATTCCCCTGCAGCCCGTGGTGCAGCCCATGCGAGGCAGCTGTGCCCCTGCAGCCCATGGAAGTCCATGGCGGAAAAGATTCCGCCTGCAGCCCATGGAGGACCCCACACTGGTGCAGAGGGATTGCTGAAGGAGGCTGTGATCCCGGGAGAAGCCCACACTGGAGCAGGGTCATGGCAGGAGCTGTGGCCCTATAGAGAGAGGAGCCTGCGCTGGAGCAGGTTTGCTGCAGAACTTGTGACCTCACAGGGACCCAAGATGGAGCAGTCTGTTCCTGAAGGATGCACCCCTTGGAAGGGACCCACGCTGGAGCAGGGGAAGAGTGTGAGGTGGAAGGAGTGGTAGAGACAACATATAATAAGCTGAATGCAAATCCCATACCCTATGCCTCTCAGCTGCTGAGGGAGGACGACGCAGAGGAGTGAAGTTGAATGGGGGAAGAGAGGGGTGTGGGGAAGGTGTTTTAGGTCTCGTGTATGTTTCTCACTATCCTGCTCTATTCCTAACTGGCAACAGATGAAATTAATTTACCCCAAGTTGAGCCTGCTTTGCCTGTCTTGATCTCAGCTCAGGAACCTTTTAATCTTATTTTCTCCTCTTGTCCTGTTGGGCATCTGACAGTCAAGCAAAATCAACTTATCACAGAATCCCTCCACAGAGGTAAAGACTAGCTGTCAGTTTATCATCATGGCTACCAGCTCAAACCAAGTAATTAAGCCAGTTTTACGAGCAAGATAAGTGCCAACTCTGTATGTACTGTCTTACAAAAATTACAGGATTGTAGAATCTACCCAGATTCTAGAATCTATCCATAAGGTGATAAATGCGTGAAGTATGAATGAGAATTAAAATATAAAAGTTTAAAGGTTAAAGACATAAATAGACTGTATCACATGCGAAGAACCTAAAACCAAACCACAGCTGCACTGAGTTTCAGTTTTTCACTGGAATTAAATGGATTAAAAACCCCTCATCAGTATGTTTAAAAATCAGTGAAAGAGATAAATAAAGCTACTCTAAGCATGCCACACAAGAAGCCAGAATCAAGAAGTGACATAAAATTTTTATTTTGCAGTTAAAACTGATATATTAAAAAAAAACCAACAAAACAAACCTGCACAGAGAACTACTATTCCTCATTACCACATATCTCAAGGTTTTAGAACAAAAAGATCTCAACCTTTCAAGCTTCATATTTAGTTCTAAATTGCAAGAAGCCATTAAGCAAAACAAACAAACAAACAACAAAAAAAAACAACAAAAAACCCACCCCAGCTGCATCCATCCCTAGTTGACAAAAGGACTACATTTTACCTATTTACAAAACTCCTTGTGCCAGTCCACAGCCTTGCCAACATTACTTCCCCAAAATGTTATCTTCCATCTTCTCAAAACATAAAGACCATGAAACACACAAAGGCTGAAGAGAAAACCGGTAACCAAAACAAACATATTTTCTCTATGGAAAACTTGTCTTTCTGAAAATAGTGTTCAGTTATATGTAAAGAAAGGGCAAGAGAGTTAGGCATTCTGTTTGCTGTAAGATTTTAATTTTTTATTTGATGAGGTAAAACTGCACAGCAACTCAGGACAAATACTATGACCAAATATGATTTCCCACGAGTATACTTGGAGTCTAATTCAAGAGGTGCACTTTTTTGATACAATTCAACATAGTAGAACTACACCATATATAATTCAAAACATATGGTAAGCACAGTGCTCAGAGTTGTGACTATTTTGAGACCAATGCTGGCTGAATCCAGCATATCACCAGAAGTATAAACAATCTGAACACCACTCACTAGCATATCATAAGCACAACAGGTCAAATTCAAAGTAAAAATAAGTGCAATCAAAATTGCAACTGCCAGCAAAGAATGACGTGAGATGAATAATGTCTTTCCAGCATTAAGACCAAAGCAATACAGATGACTGTCTCTAGCCTGCCAGCAGAAATGTCTGATCAATTTTCCTAACTGTATTTTGGAAGCTAGTCATTAAATTTCCCACAAAATTTAATCCAGACAAGGGCATTTCTTGTCTGGAAATTTGGCTTCCAGAGAGACACATACACACACATTTACATTTTATACAGGTAAAAGAAATCCTATTTCCTCTCAGAATTCACAGCTAAAAGAAAGAAGCTGCATAAACATCACCCATATGTGCTCAAGAAAAATTGCTTTTTTTTATAGTTACATGAAAAAATCTCACCAGGAGGAACAATCCAGCTA